GTGTTTGATGTTTCACACTAGTGATATCGTGAGACTCGCTCTTTACAATCTGCTATTTAGGAAAGTCAAAACTGGTGATTTCACAGTATCTTTAAAGATAGATTTTCTGGTGGGCGTTCCCAGAGTGATGAGAGTTTCCCGAAGAAAATAGGCTACAGACTTGAGTCACAATGTTAACAATAATTTGCAGGTAGACTTTTAGACTTCTGTCTGCGAAGAGCAAACACACTCAAAGACAACTCTGGACTCTGGACTTATTTCAAAATGTATACGTCTCATTCATCTGGTAAGCATGTTTGATGCTTCAAATATCTCATTAATGACAACACTTTTAACTGACAATAGATCGAAGACATGATTTACCTTTTGGGCCACAGACAAAAAAAACTACATCTTGAATTTACAGTAGATTTGGTTTATCAAAGACGCCCGCGAAGAGCCACAGTACATAAAATAAGCACAGCGGAAATGTCAGATAAGTCAGACCGATGCAATATTTCAACTTGTTGTCATATTGACGTCTTACTGTTACCCACGGCAACAAGCATGTCTGAAAGCGAAACTATTACTGACTCTGCAGTGGTTCCAGAACGAGGAGCAGCTTCAGAAGTGTGGAACAAACTGTGGTGTCCTGAATCTTTTACTTCTCAGACTCTTCTAGCGAGTTACTGCTCAGAAGGAACTCATTCAGCGGCTCCTTTGGCAGCGGCACAGCGCCTCTCCCTCTCCCTCTCCTCTCTCGCCGTGTCGTCAAGTGATTTTGTCATAAACCTTTGGTAATGTAAAATAGTTGTGGTATCATAACAGCCTGTCACAGTCAACAGCGTGATGATTAGAGGAGAAATGGCAGAGCATAAAGGCCCAGGTGGACATTTTTTGTATATGGGAGCTGTTTAAATGTGTAATTTGTGGTCAGGAGCTGACTCGCTCCACAAATCGTGTTAATTTGATGTTTATTTTATGTTTCATGTCTCTGTCATGTTGTTGCTCTAAATTCAGCTTTGGTTCATTGCTTGTGTCACACAGCGTTCTTTCTCCCTCCTTTCACTTTTTGCTCTTGAACGCAGAGATGCCATTAAAGGGTGGTATAATAAGTGTGTGCCCACAGTGTACACAGTGACTGATTGTACACACAGATAAGCCAATGCGGTCAGCAGTTAGGGGAAGTTATTCGAAGGGAAATGATCCACACAGGTTTGCTTTGTGATGAAAAGAGACTGTTGCAGATATAAAATTACCTGGGTTCAGTGTATAGTTGTCTGCAGCCACCACACTGTCTGCATACTCCGTGTGTATTCATGCAGGAGGATCTGAGGGTGGTGTACAGTAGTGCAGCTTGTCCTTTTTGCCAGCTGTCTGGCAGCAGTCTGTGTGAACCCGTCATCCCTCGCTCTCAGACTGTGGAAGATAAAGCTGAATGTACCAGAGGAAGATTTTACTCTGTCTCTGGAGACATGAGTGCAGTTTTACATTCCTGCAGAGGGTTAATGAGTAACACAAAGGCGGGGCTTCTGAGAGTTAACACAGTGATTTGCTCAAGACACTGAGGAAACAATCTGTTTGCTTCAGTCTGCCTTCACACATCTAACTTCTGTTTTTTTTTCTTCTTGTCAAACCAAATCAAACCTGTTTTACAGCTTTTAAAAATATTACAGATGGAGAAGAGGTGGATATATTTTAGACCTCATATCTGAGCAGTGATTGGGCTCATTATACCTGTTTAACATTGCAGTCTGTGCTATGAAATCTGCACTTTAAACTCGTGTTAGCCTGAATTCAACTTGATTTCAGTGTAAAATAACAAATGAAAGAGGTAAACATTAAAGAGAAAACAGAGATTCTTGGATTAAAATGTCTTAATCCACAGGGAAGATTTGGTCTTGCTCTAATAACATTGTTTACAAAGCGTTCCAGACATAAATTCTGTCTGCTCAGAACTCAGTATATGATTTAAGGCAGATATAGACTTGTGTGTCCTCTGTAAGTTACATGTATGGGGAGGTGCACGTCAGGCTAACTTGTAGGTTATGGCATAGCCTCTGCGTCCATTATATTACAAGTAATTTAGATTAAGTAAATTAAGTTTTAAAATTATTTTTAGGGCTGTCAAGTGAATAAAAAATGCATCTGATTAATTGTGTTCTCTGTGATTAATTAATCAAAATTAATTGCATACACATGAAGGTATTTTGAAAGATTCAAGTCGAATGAATTTTGACAGATGTGTCGTGTAAAGCTGCTGGATTTTGGACACAGTTGTCCCCCTGTCCTCTACCACCCAAAGTGGTCTGCAGTCCATTTTGCAAGAGAGTTAGGCCCAATCCCAATACCCCCGACAATTTTGTCCGACAATTTTGCCAGAAGCCAGATAGTGCGAGCTAGCTAGCTAGCTAACAAGCAACCTGACGACAGTAACGTTAGCTATGTATGAACTTTTTTCCCAGTCTCTTGCTTGATGGTAGCCATGGCGACGTCTACCCCTCGCTGGCAAGTCATCATCTGAATTCCCTTGCTCCGAAGGGCTAGTTTCATACCCACTACCCCTCGTTATGCCCCCTACCCCTACACGCAAAAAGGAACACCTCTTAGGACACCTCTACCCCTCACGGGAACGCGCAAATGTAGGGGTAGGGCCAAGGGGGGGTATTGGGAATGGCCCTTAGTCAGTCAGTCACAGGTAGAGTGGCTCAGTTTGAACGCCTGGTCGAGTGTGGCTTGACGAGGCTGGCTGCTAGCGCTAGTATCAGAGGCTGTGCCAGCTCGCACTTCTGGGTTCGCTGCTAAATGCTTTGTGTTGAGGTGATATTTCAGGCTTGAAGTTTTTCCGATGGTATGAAAATTCCTTGCCGCAGAGAACAGTGCTCCTATCAACCGTTCCATCTGGACGTTTTTTAAATGTAAATGCACCCTGTGGTCCCTCCGCCTCACTCTCCGCCACGATGAGACTGTTTGCTGGGAGGAGAGTGGCTGAGGCTTAGGAGATCCACTCAGTAGTGGCTGTAGCAGCTCAAACTCAGCCGGGGCAAACCCCAGGGCCTGCTTCACAGCGGGTTTGGTCTAACATGTGTAACATCAGCAACAAAAAGTTCGCTTATCCAGCGGTGAGTTTACACCGGGCTCCCTACAGGAACTGAAGGTGCTTGCTTCATTGAAGCTTCCACCATTTTCTGCTCTCTCACCACGTTACTCGTAGATTAACTAAATAAAAGCTGCAACTTTGTTCCAATTCTGCATGTGAAATATTGTTTAAAGCATTGATAATGTTTTTTGTTTTTTTTTTAAAGAGAAAACATCACACTTAAAGTAATTTCCCCCCTTATGCTAATATTACTACTCTGACTCTTTGTTGAGTTCACTGAGCTCCTCTGAACCAGTCAAACTGAGACAGAATACCTCAAAATGTTCCTTACATTTGGCCGTTGATAGATTTTGAATACTTCCTGATGCCATGTGGATCGTATGTTTGGCCTGCACTCAAACACAACCCAGACAAAGTATTTTAACACACCAGTTTCTGCTGTCTGGTTGAGATCAGCTGTAATCGGACACTGTAAATCCTCGGAGAGAAGGTCATTTTACTACAGATTCCTACATTTATGGATGTTTTGTCAGTAGGATTCACCTGCAATTTATAGATTTCGTGAATGCAGAACATGTGATTGTATCAAAGTAATGAAAAGACTCACTACAGTAAATCTGCTGCTGCTCTTTGAGTTGTAGTATTTGACTTCAGCCGATGCAAAGCAGTTCTTTTTATAAGGCTTTTAAAAATACTATTTTACATTACAACCAGATGTTTCAGGCTATAATTTTCTCAAAAAGTCACAGGCTAGGATTCCAAACCTCAAGTGCAGTGTGTTCTTAGTACATAGTAATTAGTCCTTCGTTTAGTGAAAACAAACCCCGCAGCGTTGAGAAGGTAAACTGCGGCAGATTTCCTGCTTGTGATTCTGCTGCACTCTGTTCAGGGCCGGATGACTTTAAATGTACAGTAGGACACATTTTTGCAGTTTACTCACTCGTCCAAGTCAAGGAAACTATTTGAATTGACAGATGGAACATAGGCGGCCATAAAACACACATGAAGTGGATCATTTATGGATGCCAAATATTTTCTGCACCACACAGACAGACGGCGTTTATTCTGTGCTTGGCTTTCCTCACCTCAGCCTGTGACGTCTGATAATCACAGATGTTTTTGGCCAGATTTATTGTGTTTCAAACTTATTTTTGTCAAAACAATTTTTCAAAAAAATTTCTGTCCGTTGAGATTGTAAGGTGTATCATCAGTGTGCTTTTAAAGGAAGACTTCACCCCCGACTGAGCATTTGTAAATCATTTACTCACCACAGACTGTGTTGAATTTGGGAAGAAAACTTTTTTTTTTCTCACATGCCTTCATGGTGAGCAAGGAACTTAAAACTGAGAAAGTTCTCGATGAATTGAAGTCATTGGGGTCCATGTTTAACATTCGTTTACAAACTCTCACGACTCGTGCAGTATAATCAAAGGCTGCTTTCAGACCTAGAGTTGTCTTGACTGCAGTTGGTTCGGATCCAGGTTGGAACACGTTCTCACCTCAAACAAACCACACCAGAGTTTGTTTGTAACCGGACCGAGACCACCTCTTCAAGAAGGTCTCGGTCCGTTTGTTTTGGTGCACACCCGAGTGTGATTGCTGTGTTCACACCTGCCCAAATGAACCGCACTTTGGGGGCAAATGAACTCGACTTCAACCAAACAGTCCTTTCTGACAAGAAACTGAACTGAAAGTGAAACTTATCTGTGCTCTCTTCAAGGCCAGACTCCATTGACAAAAACTTTTCACCATCAAAGCAAGCGAGAAAAACAAAGTCTTCTTCCCAAATTCAGTGTAACACGGGATGAATAATTGATATACAAATGATCATTTGGGGGGTGAAGTGCTCCTTAAGATCTTTGTGTTGGTTTTTGGGATGAAAATAATGAGTCCTTTTTTGCTCTGTTGTTTTTTCTTTCAGCCGAAAGCGATTGGACAGATCCTCCTCTCTGAGGTTTTCGTGAGAGGCAACCTCATAGAGAGTGATTACTTTGGCCTGGAGTTCCAGAACATGCAGATGAACTGGGTACGTACAGCCGCACTGTGTCTTTTGTTTCCTGTTGAGCATCCAGGAACTGACATGCTGAGTGATTCTTTATATCTGTGAAGTACTGACCAGCAAACGCAGCTTTTGTTTCAGAGGTCAAAGGTCACACGTTGTGGACAACATGACTATCTGAGGGCAAAAGATGAACTTTATTAGTCACCTCTCAGCCAGTTGCTCTTCTTAAGCTCTCTGCAGTGGTGCAAACTGTGACGCAGAATTGTTTTTACTGGACTTGAGCAGTATATAATCTGGGAATATTTTTAACTCGTCTGGCACAAGTGCCCATACACAAATGTCAGACTTTCCAATGTTTTATTCTTCCAGAAACATAAGTGGAATTCAAGACCACCAACAGATTTTTTTTTGGAAAGCAACAGAAGAGATATTACACACACTGTGAATCTTCTTCAAAGAGAAGACACTCGTATATTCAACTGCAAAAGCACTGAAAAGCCATTATGTGTATACACAATACATCTGTCGCTCTGTGGTGTTGCTTTCAAAGACACTTTCAAATGACAAGAGTCGAGCAGTTTGTTTAAAGCCTGGCAGCAGCTGCAAATAAGAAGAACTAAATGTTTCTTACTGAAAAGGTAAAGAACTGTCGGGGTCAAAGGTCAAATACATTTAACTTTGCAGCTCTTTGTCTCTTTAATGGTTCCTTTGTCACATAAAAGAGGAGAGGTACTCCAAAAAAGTGATAAATAAATACATAAATGTATAAATATATATTATATAGGAATGAATAAACTCATAATNAAATACCTAAATAAATAAGTAAAAGAATAAATAAATGCCAAAATAGTTTATAAATAAATGTATGAATAAGTGAAAAAATAAAGAAACAAATGATTAAATAAATGCAAAAGTAAATACAAAAACAAATGTATAAATAAATACAGAAATGCATAAATATGCAAATAAATACATAAAGGAATAAATGCTGAAACAAATACAGAAATAAATAAATGTGATAGCATACAGAAAATGACTAAATAAAAGAACAAATAAGTGCTGAAATAATTACAGAAATAAATAAATAGATTTTGAAATACAAAAAAGTAAATATTAAATAAATACAAAAAACAATGAGTTAAGAATATATAAATATGGAAACAAAAAAGAATAAGTAAATGCTAAAACAAATACAAACATAAATGCATAAATAAATACAGGGTTAAATAAATACCTAAATAAATAAGTAAAAGAATAAATAAATGCCAAAATAGTTTATAAATAAATGTATGAATAAGTGAAAAAATAAAGAAACAAATGATTAAATAAATGCAAAAGTAAATACAAAAACAAATGTAAGAATAAATACAGAAATGCATAAATATGCAAATAAATACATGCAAGAATAAATGCTGAAACAAATACAGAAAATGACTAAATAAAAGAACAAGTAAGTGTTAGATTATTATAAATACAGACATAAGTAAATATATAAATAATTAAATAAAGGAGTAAATACATGTGGAAGTACAAAAAAACCTAAATAAATAAATACAAAAATAAATACAGAAAATGACTAGATAAATAAAAGAATAAATAAATGCTGAAATGAATACATAAATATATAAATGAGTAAATAAATGCTGAAATATATAAATGTTTAAATATGGAAAATAAGTAAATACAGGAAGAAATAAATACATACATTAATAAATAAAAGAATCAATAAATGCTGAAATAAAAAAATAATAATATAGAACATAAATAGACAATTTTTTAAATTATTGCCATGTTTTTGTACAGCGACATGTGTTTCTGTTTCTTCTGCATTTTTTCTTCTTGCATTTATTTATTCTTATTTATTTATTCCTGTGTTTATTTGTACATTTATTTATGTATTGACACTTTCGTCATTGTTTTTGTCCTCCATTAAGAGGACGAGGCACTGCTCCTCGCTCCGCTGCATTCAGCTGATGATGTCACAAACCTAAACTGACTGTAACATCAGCACATTTGTAGGTATAAACTGAGAGAAGGATTCAGGCAAACATCAGCTGATACCAGTTGCTCAATCTATCTGTCTGGATGGAGCACATTCCTCCCTCAATCAGGCCCAGATGTGACAGGGCAGCCAGGCTCCTGCACTGAGGCAGCAAAGCCAGATTCTGCCCACAACAATGCCTTGTCACTCAGTGACTGTACGCCATGTCAGAGTCTAGATGATATTAAAGGAGTCATTTTAAGCAGAGCGGTCACCATCTGTCAGATTTTTCTGAAGATGATGTTATTTCTGTCTCTCCAGGTTTGGCTGGAACCCACAAAACTCATTATGAGACAAGTCAGACGTAAGTGAGCTCAAATATTTGCTTAAATTCCACAGAATGAAAATGTGCCTGTGCGCTGATGATCCGGTTTCATGTTTTTCAGGACCAGCGAATACGCTCTTTAGACTGTCAGTGAAATTCTTTCCTCCAGACCCCGGTCAGCTGCAGGAGGAGTACACGAGGTCAGTGACTGTAATTTCCTACTGGATATTACTTTTATCTGGTGCCTGTGTAGAGGAGCTTTAGAAAATACACAGATTTTTTTTTATGTTTTTCCTGCTTCAGAAGCTCATGATTATGGTTTTTCAGGGCATTGTAATACTTGTCCTCAAAAAAAAATGTTTATGAAGTTCTTGGAGGGCTTTGCTGCAGTCAGTAAGAGATTTGATGAATGGACGTCTTACTTAAAGGAACTCAAGAATTAAAAAATGTCTTCTAATGAACATGAACAGATAAACGCTAAGCCTTTTGTGCTTTTGCTTTTTTTATAGGTACTTGTTTTCGCTGCAGATGAAAAGAGATCTGATGGACGGCAGGTTGATCTGCACAGAAAACACAGGCGCCCTGCTGGCCTCACACCTCGTCCAGTGTATGTTGAAGCTACCTCAGTATTTGGCTGTTCAGTAATTAAAGTTTTATTTGTTTGTTTATTTGATTTGGAGGATGTAGAGATGCAGAGATGGTGCTACAGTCTTTGCATTTTCACACAGAACCAATCAATGGCGGTGTCATGCTGTGATGGGCGTGACATGCAACACATGCGTCGGCAGCGATTTCTAAACAATAACGATGGCGTTAACATGACAGAAAAGCTGATCTGTTCTGGTCTTCCTCAAACCACAGCGGAGATTGGCGACTATGATGACGTGGCCGACAGGGACTTCCTGAGGATGACCAAGCTGTTGCCTTACCAAGAGAAGGTGCAAGAGAGGATCATGGAGCTCCACCGCAGGCACCTGTAAGTGTCTCCCTGAAGCTGCGTCATGTTCTGTTTGGCCTCATCGATCTGCCTTCACAGTATGTGGTTGTGCCTGTGTTGTTGTGGCTGCGTCTTTTCCTCCATGACTCTGTTACTGTGTGAATCTAACAAACATTCTGAACAGTGTCAGTCAGGAAGGAAACTAGTTCCTGTTGAACCAATCAGCAAACCTCAGTAACAGTTCCAGCGGCTTCAGTGCTTATTATATATGCCATCAGGTAAACTTTTCTAGCTGCACAGTGTCTCATCCCGACCGCAACCATCCCGACCAGCTGAGTGCCAGGCTGTCGCTGCTGCTGACTCAGCACTTCTGCTCTCTTGTGCACAGATCATCTTTTTTTTTCATGGTCTTCTTGTACTTTTCAACAGATGGGACTTAAAGCAAAAGCAGGGTTCCCACAGATCCTTAAAAAAGTCTTAAAAGGCACTGAATTCATTAATCTAAAAATAAGGCCTGAGTTGATGTAAAAACCTCTTGAAGAAGATTTAAGAGGGTTAAAGGCAGCTAGCTGTGAGGAGAATGCTGATTGCAACCAGCTGAAACTTCTCCAGGTTAGAATCCCATCTGGATGTTTGTACTGGGAGCCGAAATATCCACAGAGGTTTCTTGCTCTCCAGAGCAAACGGACCAGATGATTAAAACCAGTAGAAAAACTGAATGTTACAAATCAGTGTTTTTCCGACACTGTTTGACATGTTGCTGACGGGTGCTAGCCCAGTACCTGCTGGCGCTCACCTTTTTTTTTCCCTTCTTCTTTAACTCCGACATTGAGGAAGTTTTTGCCTGAAGCTGAATTATTTGCGGAGGTCTCTTCCTCTCTAAAACAAATGAAACAGGTGATTTAAAACACTTAAAATCTGTTTCTCTGATGCTGTCATTGCGGAGCGGCTGCTAACTACTGCAGCCAAAGTGAAAATGCAGAAACATGAGTGGCCCCAATGTAGAGCCAGTGTTTGGTTTGTCCGTTCTGAGTTACTGTAGAAACACAGCAGTGCAACATGGTAGACTCCATGGATGAGGGCCTGCTGCCTATGTAGATATAAACAGCTCTAAGTTAACGATAACAATGATTCGCATTTTCAGGTGATTATACATTAAAAAAAAACATACTTAATATATTATACTCAGTTTCTGGTTTTGTATCCCCCTAAATCCTATCTCAAAATAATTGGTAACATATTTTTTTTTTTTTAAAGTAATTTACTGAATGCCACTAACATTAACATCAAGAACTTCTCTTTTAGTAAGACTTTGACACAATAAAGACCTGAACAAGCAAAACATTTCATTGCTCTTTAGGGCCCTTTTTCCTAATGTTGTCAGACACTCAGAATAACAACCTGAGCCCGTCAGCAGCAAAAACAAACACTTGTAATGGACGCCACTTGACTCGGCGCACTTTTCTCAAATGATTCAATTGCAGCCTGTCTTGCCACTGTCGCAGGCTGCAGCCCTCTTTCGCTCTCTCAACACTGGACCAGTTTAAAAAATGATGATGGTCACACGAGTCACTTAAGACACAAAAACATGGGGAAAAAGGCTTCAGGTTGAAAAATACCCCTTAAAGTTCCCCTTTAAACGAGGTCCCCTTTCCTTCATTTCATCAAGAATCTTCTCCATGTTTGAATTCTTTGTTCACTAGAGACGTGTCTTCATGAATTCAACATAACATGGTGTCATTAATTGACGCACAAATGGTTATATAAAATTAAACTGCACATAGCTGCGTCCAACCATTTGGACTATTTTAAAATCATATCCCACATTAAGTGGAATTTGTAAGCGGTGGCACTTTGTCTTGTCTTGTCTGTCCCTCTTTATGTGGCTTTAAACACAAATGTTTAGTGTTAACTGAACTGAGACAACTATGTGTTCTCACTAAACAACCATAATGAGAGGGTTTGCCCCGTTTCAGAGTCCAGAGTCTCACAAAACCACTCGCTGCACTTTTCCCACCACCAGCCGCCTTGTTAGCTCACTACTATGCTGTGGCCAATAGGGGCTCCTTTCAGCCCAGTGTATTTGGCGGCTCTAAAGACCTCTGCTAATCTCTTCCCTTGGTTGCCAGTGTGGAAGCAGAAGCAGCGAGCTCCCTGGCCTAATCCCCTGCTCTGGCCGCTCTATTAGCCATAAGGCCAGTGGGGCAGGGGAGGGCCCTAAGGAGATTTCACCGCTTAACGGATGAACAAAATTAGAATGTGGTGATGATTGGATGGATATGTCTTCCTAGCATGCTGTTTGGTTGTAATCACATGGGTTTAGATAATGCTGCTCAAATCCTGGAAGTTGTAAAGGATTTAAGGACACACCAGCCTGCAAACGAGTCATGATGCGATCTTTGTTTAAAGTTCATGCGGTTAATCAAAGAGACATTACACTCACACACTACACTTTGTGCTCCAAAAGCCTGGTCAGTTGCAGTTACTAACCTTATTGATTTGAGGAACATTTAAGATTGTGTGTATGTGTGTGTGTGTGTGTGTGTGTGTGTGTGAGAAACAGAATTAAGCTTTAAGTGTTGTTGATGGTACAATCCAGTATGCAGCTGAAAGGTGTCCTAGGGTGCTTTCACACCTGCCCTGTCTGGTTTGGTTTAATCGAACTAAAGTTCATTTGCCCCCAAAGTGTGGGTTGTTTGGGCAGGTGTGAACACAGCAAACGCATTTGGGTGCTCACCAAAACAAGTTCTCTGTCCGGTTACAAAAGAACTCCGGTGCGGTTCGTTTGTGTTGAGAACGTGTCCCAACCTCGATCTGAACCAACTGAATGCGCATTACGCATTGTTTGGGTGAAACATGACCATGTTACTTTTTTTAATTATTGTCAAGATGTTGCTGTTCAGATTCAGGCCATTTAGGAATAACACCAGAATTCCAATGCTTTGTTTTCACAGATTAGAGATGAGCACAGAGCTTTAACCTGTCTTCTCTTAATCTCAGTTTTTTGCTGAAGGCAGATCATCAATGTGTTTATTGCACTTTCTGAGAAAATCTATTGTAGTGTTGTCATTTAGTTTAATGGGTGTTGTCTGCAAAATTATAAGAGGTAATTTCATTGATTTGTATAATTTGTTCTAATGGAACCTTCCTAAGTTTAAATAGAAGAGGACTAAGGATTGAGCCTTGGTCTTTTTTGGATACATACTTAGTAGATGAGAGAAAAAAGTTCCTGTTGCATGGAGAGAACACGTTGTCAGTCACAAAAATTGATGTATTTTACATATTGTCTCCTCCAGGGGCCAGACTCCAGCCGAATCAGATTTCCAGATCCTGGAGATTGCCCGTAAACTGGAGATGTACGGCGTCCGCTTCCACCCAGCAGCCGATCGGGAAGGCACCAAAATCAATCTGGCTGTTGCTCACATGGGCCTTCAGGTTTTTCAGGTGACTTGCTGCTCTCATTCTAGCTGTGTTTTGTGGATGTGACTCTTGGTCCTTAACAGTGATGCTGAAGGTTGTTTCTCTTTTTTCCCCCTTTTCTTTCAGGGCACCACAAAAATAAATACCTTCAACTGGTCCAAGATCCGCAAACTGAGCTTCAAGAGGAAACGGTTCCTGATCAAGCTCCACCCAGAGGTTCATGTACGTATTGTGTTTTTATTCAAAAAATGACAGTGTTGGATGTCAATTATTTTTATCTGTACGTCTCAAGTCCCTTTCACACATGTACTGAAAACCTGAACATAACCTGAAGGAGCTGTACGTTAAAATGGAAAGGTCCAAATCAGTCAGAGCCGGACATTCAACAAGCATCAGAGCACAAAATCTGTGTAATCCGTCTGAGCCTATGTGAGAATAGAGCAGGTTGTTGTCTAAAGAATTTACAGGGAGCAAGTGGGCGTGTTGATGACGTTTCTATCATTCGGCTGGCACAAAGCCAGAAGAACAGAAGAATACACACTTCTGAGGGGGAAGAAGAAGTGTCATTTACATGAAAACAGCAATGAAGAGATACAGGAACTTCTCTTGGAGAAGGCCAGAGCTGAAATAATCAGACAAATTCTAGAAACGGCAAGAAACTCTTGTTATGGCCAAATTACAAACTTGCTATGTTACCGCGGTGTAATCTACGTCATGTTCTTCCTCCTGTACGCTCTACCCAGGCGCCACCCCTTAACCAAATAGATTTTCCAGTAGCTAAGAAGACATCTGAAAGGGACAGTCTACTGTTGTGCGCAACATGTGTGAAAGGGCAACAGGAAATGTTCGTACCTGATACTCTGGACATTGTCTGGAGTTTTTCTTCAGATTCCCCATCCACTCTGAAGGACACCAGTTAACTGTGTAATTGTATTGTCTCTCTCTCTGTATTTATCCTTAGGGCCCCCATCAAGACACTCTTGAGTTTATGATGGCCAGTCGAGACCAATGTAAAATCTTCTGGAAGATCTGTGTGGAGTACCACTCATTTTTCCGTTTGTTTGACCAACCCCAGCCAAAATCCAAAGCTATCCTCTTCACCAGAGGCTCTTCCTTCAGATACAGGTATTACATACTGACATCAAGGCTCAATCCCAGTACACCTCTTGCCCCTACCACTTAGCTCTACCCATCTGTTTTCACATTCACGTCTAAAGGTTGGGTGTCTGGATTCTTGTTGGTACAGAGGGGTAAGGTGAAGCTTTAGGGCTACATGGCCTTCCAAACAGAGGTTGGACACAAGCAGTGAAGGACACCCGCAAACACGATATCAGAGCAAATTGCTAATCTATGGTTATATTTATTGGATCAAATGCTAATACACCGATAACCAAAATATTGAAACCGCTGACAGGTGAAGTGAACAACATTGATCATCTTGCTACAATGCAATGTTCTTTTGGGACACCTTGGGCTCTGACATTTATGTGGATGCCACCTGACACACTCCACCCACCTTAACACCCGTGCAGACCAGATACCCTCCCCTCATGGCAACTGCGTCCCCCAGTAGCATTGGCCCCCCAGCAGGACAGTGTGCCATGCCACACCACAAAAACTGCTAAGGAGTGGCCCGAGGAACATGACAGAGACGTCAAGTCAAGGCATTGGCCTCGAATCCAAATTTCCCAAATCCCTGTCTGATCAAACATCTGTGGGACGTGCTGGTACCCCACCTCACAACCAACAGGACTCAAAAGATCTGAAGCCAACGCCCTGGTGCCAGACACCAATTGACACCATCCAGGTCAGAGCCATGTCCAGTCCAAGGAGCACCCATGGTGGATCAGGGGTACCTCTGGGATACCAGCATGTCCCTCAAATGTCCGATCAAATTGGGATTGGGGTATTTGGAGGCAGAGTCAACACCTTGAGCTCTTTGTCCTTTTCCTGGGGTCATTCCTGAGCAGCTTTTGTGGTGTGGCACAGTGAGTTGTCCTGCTGGAGGCACTGCCATCGACAAGTGCTGTTGCCATGAGGGGGTTTATTTTGTCTGCGACAGTGTTCGGGTGGGTGAAGCGTGTCAAGTAGCATCCACTTGAATACCAGGACCAAAGGTTTCCCAGCAGAACATTGCACTGTAACAAGATGATCAATGTTATTCACTTCACCCACCAGTGGTTTTAGTGGTTTGGCTGATGGGTGTATATTATGTATCATAGACCTGCCATACACAATGTGCGTGTATTATTATAGAGATAGTCCAAAAATGACAAACCATGATTCCACCAACAGGCAACTCTATTGCGTTTTTGTTAGCCATGGGCATTATGTTCACCAATGGCAAGTTGTGTTTGCTAAATTAACAGTGAGAGTGTGCCTCTTCTACTGTCTGACCCTACAGAGCCACCATAGTTTAGAAATGACATGTAGCTAGTAATAGCCCTATACTTTTAAGCTATTGAAACATTTCAAAAAGCTCCAAAATGAGACCCCCGATTAACTGTTGCTTAATACATTTGTTGTTTTGGAACTCACGTTTTAATACACTTGTCATGCTATTAACGATACAGGGCTGACATTGATATGTGGCGCTGATATGCTATATTTCTCATGCAATTTAGCAGCTCAACACTGTCATACAGAACCATTGTTTCTGTCATGTCATTATTCAGTGTTTTAATTCCAAACTCTCTCTGTCAGTGGGAGGACCCAGAAGCAACTTGTGGACTACGTCAGGGAAAATGGAGCAAAGAGAACTCCATACCAGAGGTGTGTGTTTCTTTGTACAGTATATAAACTGTTTATCAGACAGACACGTTGTTTGCCTTTCTAATTCTTCTGGGAAATGTTTCCACACTGCATTCATAATAATAATCCTGTCATTAAATTGTTTCTTGCTCAGGAGGAACAGTAAAATACGAATGTCTGCTCGCTCCCTCGCCACAGATGTGCCAAAACAGGTCAGTGAAGCACCAAGGTGCAACAAATAAAAACTGTCATCACCTTGTACAACAGTGAATAAATGAATACTTGTCTCCTTCGTAACTCTTTTCCTCCCCCACTCTGTCTGTGTTTCAGAGCTTGTCATTCAATGACAGTCTCAGGGCCCCAGGCTCCCCTTCCTCCGCTTCTGTGTCCTTCTTCCCAGCGCACATCTCCAGCGTCCTCCCACGGACTGAACTCCAGCCTCAGCCACAGCCTTTGCCCGCACTGAGCCGGTCTCCAGCAGCGCCTCCCCAGCAGCAGCAGCTTCAGTCCCCTCCACAAGCCACCAGACCCCCCAGCCCTCCGAAGGAAGAACCTGTCAAGGCCGCTTCCCCATCTCACTTCGCTTTTCAAGGTGCCCCTAGCAATCCGGCAGCAGGACACTGCAGCCCCTTGTTTGTGTGTGTAGAGAGTGGCACTTCCCAATCACAGCCCTCCAAAAATGGCAATGAGGATAATGAGCATGGTGGGAGGATGGGCCCTGGGTGCTCGGTGGGAGTGGGTGGAGGGAAGAGGAGGGGGGTTCTTACACCTGAGGCTTTTGAGGCGGAGCTCTTGCGTACAAAACAGAATCCCATGTTCTCCATGTCTAACTCCCCGCTGCATGTCTCAGAGGAGTTCATAGATGACGATCCCACTGAGATTTCTTTTTACGGTGGGGGGGCCGAGGCCTACTCTTTTGGGCTTGATGACAAAGTAGATCAGTTTGATTATGTGGAGGAGTCCGACCTCAGCAAAAACAGGATGTATAGTGTGGGCATCGAGGACCTGAATGGGAACACCAATTCCTTCCCTGATAGCATCGTTGGTCACTCTGAGACCAGCTCTCTGGTTAATAACCGCTCTGAGTGCAGCTCCCTGGACAACCTGGGGCTCAGCTCTGCGGGTGAGTCCATGTCGGTGGGTTACGGAGGCGCTGACTCCTCCTCGCTTCGCCTGCCAGGCTCTGAAATCCAGTCAGAGGCCAGCTCTATGGTCAACTTCCCTGCCTACTCAGTGCGATCTGAGAGCAGCTCTGCTGTGCAGTTCAGTGACCTGGTAGAGCAGCTTGAGCAGCTCAGCTACCCCCCCACAGCCACTGAGGGCTCTGGGAACGGCAGCTCAGACTCAGACTCCGACTGGGGCTCTGACAGCGTCCTCCCTCCTGAGCAGAACCTGTTTTACAGTAATCCGCTGACAGGGAGTGGTGGGATAGAGGGTTTCCTCCTTCAGTGCCACAACCTGCAGGCCCTGGCGCTCGCAGACCCCTCTGGATCCCCTCATATTAAAATGTAAATCACACATCGGTACAGCACTTAATGATCAATAATTCAGCCCCTCCGGGATGTTGCGATGTCACAGTCACAACAATACATGTGCAACCTTTTAATTTTGTCCAACTTATCAACAAATGTAAACAATCATCGTAGTTCTCACTAATCATAGCAGCTCCACGCACAACATCACCAAACTCACTTCTTTGTCTCTGGTTTGATAAAAATCGTACAAGGTAATTTCCTGATGTTCTGCATGAAACAGGGGGTAACGTGAAACACTTTTCTACCACAAAACACCCAGAATATAACTGAAACACATGAACAACAGACAAGACAGGAACGGACGGAAGTTTATTGATGCCAGGCCAGAAACAAAACAAAAGAAAAGTGATCAGTATCAGGTAGTAACATAAAGTTTCTTGTTCTAACAAGATGTTTTTCCACATTTTTACAAAATACATTCATGTTGTAACAAGGAACTTGTGTCGTTATAACACTATACTTATTTATCTTGTTATAACGTGACACTTTTCTTGTTATAAAAGTTTTGTTAAACTTTTCCCACATTTTTATAAGATGTTTATGTTATAACAAGAATCATTCTCATTATAATGATGTATTTATTTATCTTTTTATAACGTGAAACTTTTTTTTTAAAACATGAAAAGTTTCTTTGTCATAATGGGATTTTTCACATCTTAACAAGATGTTTTCATGTAATAAACTTAAAAAATAAATAAAAAAACAACAACCTTTTTCTAACGTGACGCATTTCTAAAATCCTGAAAAAAAAACTTGTTATAAGAAAGTTTTCAAATTATAACAAAAAATCATTTTATAACAATATACTTATTTATCCTGTGATAACGTAAAACTTTTCTTGTTATGAGATTTTTCACATCTGTGCAAGATGTTTTTATATAATTACATTTTTTTGTAATAACAAAACAAAACTTTTTCTTTCTAAAATTCCAAAAATGTGGAAAAACATCTTGTTATAAACAAGAAAGCTTTCATGTGATTACCTGATACTGATACTTTTTTTTTCTCGTGGCCTGGCTGTTCTTCCGTACAAAAGAATGGAGGTGAGTTAAATTAAATATGCAGGTTAGTTGGTAACGTCAGAGTTGCATAAATCACAAACTCAGAACATTGCGGTTTTAGTCTCATTGGGACAAACTGCCTTTCCTTTTTAATCAATTATAAAAAGTGTTACTATTTTTGCAATTCTGACTTGCAATATCATTTGTTCCTCCCATTTTTTTAGAAAAGCTGCCGTAAAATCAGACATTTGGGTCCACAATAATCCCCAAAAAAGCAAGTGACATCCTGGAGGGACTGATGATTGATAAGCAGCAACAGCACTCTTTAATAATTCAATTTTACTTTAGTCCCAGCAACACTTTAATATTCACAAAGCTTTTAGTAATTGTCAGAAAAGACAGAGATGGCTGCACCAGGTGAAGCTGCAGGTGTCCGGCTGTTTATGTCTTCATATTTTGAGTCATTTCCAACAACCTGCACTCTCATCAGCGCTGATGCACATCGTTGTTGCGTACACTTGTTGCATGCTTTCACTTTTAACTCTCTGCAATGAGAAGTGGAGGAAAACATCCTCCGTTCCATGTGTTGGTTTTCTGCAGCAGAACGATTCTATTAGTTTGTATCAGTGATTCAACCCTGTCACAGTCAGGTCATGGTGCTTTTTTTCACGAGATTCTTGAATGCAGAATAATTCTTTGTCTTTTCAGTTGTCTTATCGACAGGTTCAGTGTATTTAGAGGAAATGTTGATTTATGCATTTTGGGTGAATCTCTCACAGATTCAAGAAAACGGCAACAAACACTTTGGGCTTTTACTTTGAAAGCTTTAGACCTTTTAAGTCCTGTTTCCCGTCCTTTAAAACATGAATGTACACTGTCATAGGAATGTCTTGTTAGATTTGCCTTCCATTTGCTGAACACGTAATATTTTAGCTGTGACAAAACCTAGTTGTGCATCCACCTTCGTAGTAGCCTTAGTAGTTTCAATTAGATCCATGTTGAATGATTTCTACCATTTTTGTCTTGACCAACAAGTAAGCTTAAAAAATGTGATATCCTAATTTACAAAGTACATCACAAATAATATTATTCTAATCATCATCATCATCATCATCACCTGGCTTTTCTTATATGGTACTTGTGTAGTGTACAGTTTCCCAGTAGATGATAATCATTAATTTGTCTAATCTCAGGGTTAAAATGAAACAGACAGTCGTCCAGGTCCAGAGATCCTTACAGGCCTCCTGAATGTAAAATATGAGACACTCCATGGAGCCACTTCTGTGCCTCACTGACATCTGCTGGCTGAAGTCAGCACTCTTCACATCAGACCAGTCCACAGCGTGTAGTAGGTGTCATGCACTTAAACTTTAGGTAGGTTCATCATGTCTGAAGGATAAAAAAATATATATAAATCTCACCAACTAACATTTTAGCTTCACGCCGAGCAAAGTTAAAGAATGTAAGCAGTGTACTAATGAGCCATTCAGTGCACTGTTAACACTAGGGATGCACCGATAGTGAATAATTGGGCGGATACCAATGCTTTTTTGTTGTTGTTGTTTATTTTGTGTTTTTATTTATTCCCCCTTTTGTACCAGAGAAACAAAGAACTCTCCATTATGAAAAGAATAACTGAACTGTATATTACTCTACCTTTGAATGAGCAATTCATGAAACAACCTTTGATAAAACTCATAAGCCTTTTTACTATATATAATATATCATAATTCCTGATTACATACTGTGCTTGGAGGGTAAGGAGCTCCTGCACCTCATTGTTTTCCTAATTTACGGGCATTTATGGTCACTGTTGTTCTTCTTTGACCTGCTAACTACTGTTAGCTACTGTTAAAATCTTCCACAGTGGATGGCACGCATAACACGTCGTCGAACCGTAACACCCATCCGTGGCTCCATCCTGCTGCCTGTTCGGGTTGTACAGACACTGTTTCCCTTTCTAATATATATTTTATATTGCTGTGAAAATGTCAACAAATTTCTCCTTCAAACAGTTGTTTGCACTCAAGTTTCACAAAAATTCCATTTTACATGAGAGTGTTAGAATTTACCTTTGTCCAGTATTCATTTTTACTGAAGAGAGCTTGAAAGCCTCATGATGTAACTCAAAGTGACCTCCATTAGCAGTTAGCTCCGGCTGCTATCAGCTAACAGCTAACGCTAACTAGCTCCTCTCCTGTCGATTTCAAAACAGATTTGTTGCTCACAATGAAGCATTATCAGGGAAACAATAAGGTTTGTCACCCAGAATCTTTGACACTGAGGTTACTGCGTCCTTTAGTCCTGAAAGCATCCAGATGAAGACCTCTGTTCATTCCAAGTATTTTCTGTTGTTCTCATGTTGCCTGGAGCCGATGTGACACAACAGAAAAACATCGTCCACTGCCATCAGTGAATATCATCTTACTTGCTGATAGGCCGATGGTCGTCAACAAGGCGAATACGTTTGCCCAATAGATCGGTGCATCCCTAGTTAACACCACTCTCTACAAAATGAATGTATCATCCTCCTTTTATGTAAGGCTTCGTACACCTGTAGCAAACTTAAAATAGTTAGTAAACCATGTATAATAGACACAGCGCTTTTCAACGTTAAAAACCATCCATGTTTGTAGCTTGTAGGAAACCCTTTGGATTCAGTAGGGGAAGCTTTTATTGAAGCATCAGTATGTCTCTTTTCAGGCATGTTAGCACATTTTGGGGTTTTGGCTTTGGCTGTCTTCAGGGTACCAACAAGGTGGTGCTCTGTTGGTTTGAAGGAAACGGGGGTCTTTTGCACATTAGCTATGAATTTCTCTTTTACAGTAGCTGGATTCTTTTTCATGTTGTTTTTGAAGTATTGGTGTAGGAATGATAGTTTGCTGTCATGTGGTTTGTCGCTAACACACAAGCATGCACAGTGCTTTTTTTTTTTTTTTAAATTTAATTTTTTCATCCAGCCTCCCGGCCTCAGAGATCCAACTGGTCTTGTCAAGTCTGTCGTGACAGCTCACTCCAAAATCAAAAATACAAATTTCCCTCTTACCTGTAGTGCTAATGTCAGTCTATATAGTTTTGGTGCAAGTTGCCGGGTGCTGGAGATATCGGCCGTAGAGATGTCTGCCTTCTCTCCAACATCATGGAACTCAGCAGCAATGTCTCTTTCCAGAAATCATGACCAGGTTACTCAAGATAATCTGTCTTGTTGTGAGCAGTTTCATGTAGGAACTATTTTCTTTCTACCAAACAAATGCACTCTTCCTCCTGTGCAGTGATACAATTGGAGGATGTATCACTGCACAGGAGGAAGAGTGCATCAACTGCTAGCTCACCTAGCACCACTGAGCTAGCAGACATTACAGCGCAGCCATGGAGGGCACCATTAATGTTTACCTCATGAGCTCGAGCTTCTCGTTCATGAGTAGATGCACACTTCCTCCTGCGCACTGATAAGGGTTAGAGGGTGTAGTTTGGTAGAAAGACAAAAGTTCCTAAATGAAACTGCTCACAAGGTCTGTGGATTGCTGTTGAGTTTTTCAAATGTACGCCTGAGCAGCACAAGCTGACTGCCATCTAGTTCCATTATATCGGACAGACATCTTTTTGGCTGATATCTCCAACACGCAACAGTACATACCAAAAAAATCTAGACTGATGAATAGCACTACAAGTAAGAGGGAAAATATGCATATTGTGATTTTTGGGGTTGAACTGCCTCTTAGAACGAATTCACTTGTGCCATAGAACATAAAAAACTAATACTTTCTTGATATCAAACTACTCAGTCACCATGTTGTCATTTCATCCTCAACAGTCTTGCTGAGTGCAATTTTTTTTTAAATTCCTTTCATTTGAGCTCACTTTAATCTGCTTGAATTCAGCAAAGTTTGCTTTTTCTGTGCTTGTTAGTGTTGCCTTTTTGTCCTGCACCTCTGTGCCTTAAAGCACTTACTTTCGCTCTTTTCATGCTTGTCATGCGTATCTCAGGTGTACGTTCCTGTTTACTTTTCAATGGATGTTTCCGGTGAACATCCATGTGAAAAAAGGGGCTTTCTAAATTAAGTTTTCCTCTTTAGTCACTAAGAATATATACTCATCAGTTCTCATTGTCATTTTGAAGGATTGTTATTTTCCCAATAAAAACAACAACAGTTGTGGAACGTTATTTAGTTTCATGTGCCATCAGTTACCTGTTAGACCGAGTTGGTTGCCTTGATTCTTTTTCTGCCATGTGATTCTTCAAACATCTCAACTGAAGATTTAACTAATGACGGGGCTGACGATGATAACCAGCTAAGCTATAACTGCACTTAGGCATCAAGTAATCATCACTTAATCCTGAATATGTATATTGACTTCTTATAAACAAACCTGTACTTAATGTGTGTATGTTTTTACTCTCTCAAGAATAAAGTAATCACTTTTGGGTACCATGAATGTCAGACTTAAAATTCTTTTTCAGATGCAGACCGAAAAATCAAAGACACAATGGTGATGTCATTCTTTCAACTGCTTTAACAGAAACCTCAGTGGTGTTCGACACTCTTGTAATGTGCATGGCCCAGATCACGACGGATGAAGTTTATCTCACCCTCTGTCCGCATTTCAAATTGTACGAAATAATGGACGTAGCCAACATGTTACCCATTTGTTTGAGGACTCGTGTTTTGAGCACGGATGTATAAAGAGACCTGGATACAGCGTTGGTGGCGGGGCCCCGTTCATTCCTGTCAAAGCTGCTCAGTGGAGCATGAAAAAGTTGTACTTCCCGAGTGTAAAATTATCCTGATCTTTTGCACCATTGTGACCATGGAGCAAGCGCACCAGAGACTTCTGCTGGTTGAGCCGGCTACTTCAATTTTAGCATCTGCTAACGTGAATGGGGATAAAAATCATGGATGTATAAAGAGACCTGGATACAGCGTTGGAGGCAAGGCCCCGTTCATGCAAATGAAAGTTGCTTGGTGGTGCAAAAAGCTACTTTTCCATGCTACGAAATTACCAAGATCTAACGCATTGTGGGGCCTACAAAGTGAGCTAACTACGGTGGCCGAGTGCAACCAAATGGCTGACTTCTGGTTTTGCCCTCCGCTAACTTGAATGGGGCTAAAGTGATTTAAATGAGCTTTTTTTCCTGGTCTCTTGAAATCCAAATAATAAAAGTAGTCTTTTCGTTGTGACAATTGACAGGTGTTTCTCTCTGAATGTAATCCTATGGGAATGAAGTCTTTATGTGCCCAATGGCATCAAGCGACAGACCTTGAAGATGTCATTGTACAAATTGGCCACTATGTCAAAAGTCCAGCAGTACTGTTTCTGGGGGCTCATTTTTGAAGCTTCAAGTTCGGCATTTTAGCCGTCACCATCTTGGATTTTTGGAGCCAGAAGTGACCACGTTTGGATATGAGAGCGGAGCTAACTCTAACGCCAGTTGCTAGCTTAGTTAGCAAGTGGCATTTATGATTAGCTGTGATGATGCAAATTTTTGCTAGTGAAAAAAAAAAAAAGGCTTAAAACAATTTACTTAGTGGAAAAACCGAACATCATAATTCCTTAGAGGGTCTTTTAGTAAGATTAAATGCCAAACAGAACTTTTCCCGATGACTAAAACGTTAAAATAAGCTTTCATGGGCTGAAAATACACTGAAATAGTGACAGCTACTACTATACTACATGAATATTGGGGTAATGACACGTTTACCCAACCAGTGTTGTCGTTGTGATAGCCATTTATCAATGGCACCCACCTGTCATTCAAAGTGGCCACACCCTTAAATATGCGTTACTTTAAGTCTTAAAAAAAATCTAAATGGGTGAGTTATAAAAAATAACCCCCCATTCAGTTGTCGTGAACGTGAAAATTAGCTATTGAGATTAAAACCGTTTTTGTACTAAGCTGTAAAAGCGTTAATTTCAGCTGTAAAGTTGAGTTTTAACATGGGGGTCTATGGGGGTTGACTCACTTTTGGAGCCAGCCTCAAGTGGCCGTTAGCGGAACTGCAGTGTTTGGCACTTTGGCGTTTTTTATCCCCGGAAATTGCCTCTTCGGTTTTACGCAGACATCAGACTGGAGATATTGTGTATTAGGTGTGATGTTTTATCCTGATCATTTTCTTCATTATTTAAAAACTAAATGAAACTCTAAGGACCAACTTGTGATCCCACGTAAAAATCTTTCAAAGCTGTTTTCACGTGCAGGAGCAACACACTCCAGATTGTATACTCCTTACTTTAGCTGCTCCTTTTGATTTTCTCCATGAGAGAAATTCTGTTCATATGAAATGCTCTTCAGTGCTGTAGAAAAAGAAGCCTGTATACAACAAGTCAGCACACATCGCCTTTATATGTCTAAGGCAACAAGCTTGTGTGCAGTTGGGGGTTGGGTCGGACTCGTACACAAGATTCCTCAGCCTAATTCCAGCTGAGTGTGTGTGTTTGGACAGGCTCTGTGCCAAGTCATTCCACAGCAAACCCTCGTCCTGCTGTGGAGCCCGACGTCCGCTCTCTTCCCCTCTCCTGTCAGTCCCTGTGGGCCACTTCAGATAAACTATAAACAACTATTTGCCCTCCAGACAAGCCACATTCCTGATAGCGTGAGCAATTATTTCCGGGTCGAGTTTTTCTTTTTTTTCCCCGTCTCTCAGCCTTCCCCCACTCCTTTTTTTTCCTCTCTGTCTAATAGAAGTGGAAGAACAGCTGTGGTGACCTGTGACTCAGTAAAGAGGACAGCCCTACGTTTCATCTGCGTGTTTTGTCTCCTGATTTGTTGTGTAGCGAAGCGAACAAAAGCTGAAGAGCCAGTTGTCTGAAACAGAGCCGGGCTCGTAGAAGTTGGCAGTGAATCATTTGTCCTTTCTGTAGCGAGCTCTGAAAACAATGGCAGGGGGAAAAAATGTGGGAACCATTACTTGCCTCGGTCTACTCTGCCGTCTCCCCTTTCATTTGTGGCCAACGTGTGTGATGAACCATTCCACTTGTTTTTGTTAAAATGTGCAGGCGGTGGTTTCTCTCTGAGAGGAAATGAGATAATTTTGGAAAAACAGGTTAGGTGAAGATGGAGTATATATTTGACTGAATGCGGCGTATTTTAGCGCTATTACAAATATGGTCATGTGAGTGACTGTTGACTTAAACGCCACACAAAAGATCGTGTTTGTTCTCTTGAAACCTCTACAGTTCTTTTATTTTTCACCTCCCCCACCTCTCACACTGCTGTCTCATGCTCTGATGCTCTGTTGTTTGTCTTGACTGATTTAAATCACTGATTAAATCTGATTTTTAATTCCTCTTTTCCCTCTTCGACAGACTCGGTCGTGGACAGCCCTCAGCTCTCGCCCCTCACTTCCAAAGGTCCCCTCTGCCTGTCCCCCTCCTTCCAGATGTCGACCCTCAGTCTGCCAGGCCAGGCCCCGTCGCCACTGCAGAGCCCCATCCTGAGCGAGGTGGGCAGCAATGCCAGGCTAGAGGAGGAGGAGGAGGGCAGGAGGAAGGTACACTGCTTACATGCCACCCTTCCACTCCCCCCTGCCTCACAACCCCCTTCTTTTAAAAGTAGAAATCACAAAACCCTAATTTATAACAAGATCAAACTTTGAGTTTGTATAATGGAGGGAAGGATTTGAAGTGTCTCTCTTAGTGTTGTCTGTCACTCAGTTTTGAAATGTCCCTCTTCTCCCTCAGCGATATCCCACCGATAAGGCCTACTTCATTGCCAAAGAGATTCTGACCACAGAGCGAACGTACCTGAAAGACCTCGAGGTCATCACTGTGGTGAGTGTTTTTAAACCCTGTTCTTATTTGGATTCACCAAAGCTGCGTTAAGATAATGTGGTCACTGAAATACAAACGCTGAAGTCAGGATTGTATGTAATCATATGTTAAAATAAAAAATAATTTGCATCAAAGGATGATCATAAAAAAGGTCAATACTTTATTGATCCCCGAGGGGAAATTATGATTCGTTACAGTAGCTCCGATGTAACAAAAAGGGAATCATAAGAAGTAAGAATAAGAGTATGAAATATATTTACTCATATATTGTAGTTAAATTTTCACACTTACTGCCTCAGCACAGTGACGATGTATATTTTATTTTAATATTTGAATTTTTACATCTTAAGTAGTGTTAAACACCGTAGCATAAGGCAGGTTTTATTTCATTTTAAAGTACATTTCATTTCTACTTTATTTTATTGCTTTATATTTACATAATTTTAAGAAATATGTACAGTTACGTGCATTGTATGAGGTGAAAAAAAAAACAAGTTAATTTATACAATTTATTAGTTTACAATGTCATATATTATTTTATTGTTTATTCCTCTTAATGATGATTGATTTATATAATTACTAGAACACATTTAAAACATGTTACTGAAAGCAAAACTTAATTTTATCTTATTTTTTATTGTTAGTTAGGTTGTTTATTTGCATTTTGGTAATAAATATGCAGCACTGTGACTGTTGAGCTGCAGTGAACGACACGATCTTTGGGGGGCGCCAGCGGGAGGCTTGCCCAGGGCACCACATATGCTAGAACAGCTACTGGATGCTGTCTCGGATTCGGAGCCGATTATGTTGAATATCCAGTGTGCACGCAACAAAGACGAGAGCATCAGATGATACAGGATGATATTAAAATCTCAAAAATAATAATAATGGACCCACCATTAAAAGAAAAGTTTTGAAAGCTTGATACAGTCCTCTAATAAAGAAGAGTACAATAAGCTGTTAACCTTTGAGATTTTATAAGCCCGCTTTGTCATTTTCTTCCATGATCGTTTATTGGGAGTGTATGCGTCATTAGCGTGTTGTCCCTCTTGTGCTCAGTGGTTCCGCAGTGCTGTGATCAAAGAAAACGCCATGCCAGAAGGCCTGATGACCCTCCTGTTCTCCAACATCGACCCCATCTATGAGTTCCACCGAGGCTTCCTGAAGGAGTTGGACCAGAGGCTGGCTCTCTGGTGGGTGCTCCTGCACTCTCTCTGTGTGATTACATGTGTGGAGGCCTTTGGTGAGATGCTAATAAAGACAACATCTGCAAATGTGTTTCTTAGGGAGGGACGCTCCAATGCTCACGTCAAAGGGGACTATCAGAGGATCGGTGATGTGATGCTGAGGAACATGTGCTCTCTTAAGGTGAGAATGCTTTGTCAGCTCTCTGGTGAAGACGGCCTCTCCTTTACAGAGCGGTCCTGTATTTGACACGTTTATTGTCGTCCTTAGGAATTCACCAGCTTCCTGCAGAAACACGACGAGGTGTTGACAGAGCTGGAGAAAGCCACCAAGAGGCTGAAGAAGCTGGAGACGGTCTACAAAGAGTTTGAGCTGCAGAAAGTCTGCTACTTACCCCTCAACACATTCCTGCTCAAGCCCATCCAGCGCCTCATGCACTACAAACTCATCCTGGAGAGACTGTGCAAGCATTACTCTCCCTCCCACCGTGATCATGACGACTGCAAGGGTGAGTTTTCCTCAGCTTGTGTCCTCCGCTTCTGAAGTTTTACTTGGTAAAGATAGTGGTAGCTGAGGAAGACAACTTTGAGAAAAAACACCTGCTGTGCTCATACCGTCAGTGATTGCAGTAATAATTTACTGGATGTTTGCGGTTTTACTTCAGATAATTATTCTTAAAAATATTTCGGATTTAAAACTTTTTAAGGTGAAATATCAGCAAATTGAAGATGTGTATTTTCTCAGAGTGGACTGAGTGACTTTCAGAAAACTGATGGAACGTCATTTTTGTTTACTCACAGAGGCTCTGAAGGAAGTGGCTGAGATCGCCACTCAGCTGCAGAGCAGTCTCATCCGGTTGGAGAACTTCCAGAAGCTGACCGAGCTGCAGAGAGACCTGATTGGCATCGAGAACTTGACAGCACCGGGCAGGGTGAGTGCAGTGACACGGAGCAGAGGGTAGAGGGCGCTGGGAAACTGTGTAAAAGCTTCACCCAGAGTACCTGACAACTGTCTCGTGTTTGCAGGAGTTCATTCGAGAGGGATGTCTGTACAAGCTCACCAAGAAAGGACTGCAGCAAAGGATGTTTTTCCTGGTTAGTACAAAACTACTACGACTGACTGTGATTAAATTTTTTATAAATCAGTATAGTTAAAGATGTTTCTGTCTCTTCTCAGTTCTCAGACATGCTCCTCTACACGAGCAAAGGTGTTACAGCGACCAATCAGTTCAAAGTGCATGGCCAGCTGCCCCTTCATGGCATGATTGTGAGTATACGAGCTCTAGTTCACCTCCTCTAACTTTTACCCCTCGTTAACCCTCACCAGCCCTGTAAAGGTCCCACTACAGCTCCTGGTACACTGTTAGAGGAACAGTAACCCCTGATGGTGACTTGTGTAGGTTAGAATCATCAGTATGATCTGATCGGTGTGTTGAGAAGGGAGGGCCTGGGTCTCCTAACGTTGCATGTCTCTGCTTTACTCCTGGCTGCAGCTCATAGTGCTGGATGCACCGGTAAGTCCTCTGAGCTCTGCCAGTTTGGGATGCCCAAACTAGGGTTGGGCGATATGGTAACATTTTCCAGCCGGCGATTGGTGATATTTTCGCACAGGTGTGTTCTGGTGGCGGGTTCGCTGAGCTTCACGAGCTCTCATAGCTTTTTTAAGTCCAATAAATGAACCAAATAGAGTCACAAAACGTCAAGAAAGGAAATACTCTTACACCTGTTTCCTTTACTAAACAGAAAAATAAAACTGTGCAGGTTTCTCTCTTTCACTGAAAGACTGACTTTATTGTCTTGTTAATTCATAGTGAAACACTCTTCATTCAAACTCGTCTTGGTTGGTTTTTCTACTGTAGAATCCACTGGTGTGTGGATATATTTGTTTCTACTTTATATTCCTTCAGTCCAGCACCCGCTCCATCAGACACTGGGATGCGCGTCTTGTACTCTATTTCCATTGTTCCAACATGCAACTCTGATTTGTTCAAAATAAATCCTTAACCACAAAACCCGCCAGCAGGTTTGAAAGAATGCTTTCTTTAAAAAATTGCCCAAATTACATCATTTATCTCAGCAGGAAACTGTAAAAACTGGGGCTGTCAAAATAACGCGTTCATTTCAATTAATTTATCACAGAAAAAATAGCGTTTTAAAGAATTTAATGCTGATTAATCATGTTCTGTGGTGCCCTTTGACCCAGTGTGTCATTGAAGGCCACAGTGGCTTTGTCACATGATGGAGGCAGATGAGACGACGCTGCTTGGCCCTGTGAACGGAACATTTATATTTAAAAAATGTCCAGATGGAAGATTTGATAGGAGCACCATCCTCTGCAGTTTCTTTTTTTTTTTTTTTTTTAAAGATATTTTTTGGGGGCATTTTTGCCTTTAATGGATAGGACAGTTAAGTGTGAAAGGGGGAGAGAGAGAGATGACATGCAGCAAAGGGCCATGGGCTGGAGTCGAACCCGGGCCACTGCTGCAACAGCCTTGTACATGGGGCGCCTGCTCTACCACTAAGCCACCGACACCCCATTCTCTGCAGTTTCTGCAGTAAGGAATTTTCATATCATCGGAGGACTTGAAGGCTGAAATATCACCTCAACACAAAGCATTTATCGCTAGCAGGCAGCCTTATCAAGCCACATTCGACCAGGCGTTCAGACAAAAACTGAGTCAGTCTACCTGTGACCAACTAAGTAACTCCCTTACAAAATGGACTGCAGACCAGTTTGGGTGGTAGAGGACAGGGGGACAATTGTGACCAAAATCCAGCAGCTTTACTACGACACTTATACAGAAATTCTTTGGAATCAACATTTTTTAAATACTTTTACAGCAAAAGCTGATGTATGCGATCAGTTTAGATTAATTAATCACTGAGCATGTAATTAATTCAATTAGTTTTTTTGTTTTTTTTTTAAATTGCTTGACAGCCCTAGTTAAACAAAATTATTGTTGGATTTTCAACTTTCCAGTGGTCCTTGAACACATCGCGTACAACAAACACCTCTGTCAGGAAACAACCAAATCTAAGCTTAAAAGTGACATTTAGTCAAAGTCACTTTATCCTGTGTCTCGTTTAAAAATAAAACAAACCATAAACCGGAAACACGGCTGAAACCAACAGTTACATGACAGGAATAAAAGCGAACATCAGACACACTACAAGACGAGTAAAGGTTATAAAAATTCAGTGTGTAGATCAGGGTGTGTGCAGGTCCTTAAAATGTCTTAAATGTCTTACATCCAGTTAAATAAATAAAATATGTGGGGTCTCACTTTGTTTCAGTGCTGAGCAGCGTCTCTCACTCGTTCTTTGGAAGTAGACCATCGTCATCACCAATCGCTGATAGCTGATATATTCTTCCAGTCGCACAACCCTAACCCAAACCCTACCCTTCTTCTCCCATGCTTGTGTAGAGCAATCACCAAAATGCACACCCTGCAGATTACTCAAGATGGTTACAAATATTTGTAGTTGTATATCAAGCCAAAATAAACCCACAGACAAAGATTTTAGTCTTTAACTTCAGTCCTGATAGGAGGTTTAACAAACTCCTTATAGTTTACCTCCACACAGATACACATATAGATGCTCCAGTGGCAGCTCTGTCTTCCAGACTTTGTCTCCCCCTTCACTCCTGAGCTCAAAGCATCCTTTGTAAACTAATGTGTGATAGATTGAATGTATCCAGTATTAGGGTAATGTTTTCTGGGTTTCTCTTTTTTGGTTTGTAGGTTGAGGAAAGTGAGAATGAGTGGTCGGTGCCTCACTGCTTCACCATCTACTCTGCTCAGAGGACCATTGTCGTGGCTGCCAGGTGAGGAGGGGAAAGGACTGTTTTTTTATTGTAGTAGTTATAGTTCAGCTCCAATTTATCTCTTTTGGTCAAACAAATAAAGAAAAGGTTCGGATAATTTGTTTATAGCTTAATTAAAAGCTTAAGCAAAAGCAGATAAAATGTTTTCATCATATTTTCTTCATTACACCATGTTGTACTTCATTTTCTCTCCAACTACTCTGAACACACAACGTAAAAACCCACCTGTACATCAGTGCACTGTTGATCCGTCGTTCGTCTTTCACTCATGCAGTCTGTCGCCGGGATGTTCAGGAACATTTCCTGCATAGGGTCAGGTGTGAATGGGAAACCAGTACCACCAGTTTCCCACCTCAAGTCCTTCCTCTTTCACACTGCATACATATTGCAGCGTTATTCCGCCTCAGTGTTCTGTATGTAAGGTACAATCATCGAATGGGGGGACAGAATTGTCTCGCCCCTGAGCCTGGAACAGAAGTAGTAATAGTGTCATAACGATGTCTGTGTAAACAGGACAGCCAGCAGGATCGTGGGCGGTATATGTGTGTTGATTTGATGATGTGTTACAGTGTTGAGGTTTAAAACGTAGGTGATAGCAGTTAGCAGCTGACTCAGGGAAGAAAACCAGTCGCCAAGAATGTCCTCAAATTAGGAAAACTGTGAGGTCCAGGAGCTCCTTACCCGACTTCTTCTTCTGTGACACATTTAATACTATTCGACTTTTGGGTCAAAGCCCAGGGCGGAAAGTGTGGAGCGCACTCAGACCAGTTTGAGTCCGATTGACTGTATACATGCAGGAGTAATTCAACTCCCAATCACATATTCTGGGTGTGTTAGCCCGACTGAGAAATTCGATTAAGTAGTAACATGGAGTAACATGAGTTGCTTTTCTCTGATGTCCTCACCTCAATATCTTTTTTTTCTGTCGAGTTTTATGGCAGTTGGCATCCATTACCACCACCTGCTGCATTATCCCTCTATTTCGGCATTTCCATGGTGTGTGTGAAAAGGTGCAAAATGCAAATGTTCCTAACTGTGTGTGAACAGGGCTTATGTTTGTGTTTCAGCTCTAAAGTTGAGATGGGGAAGTGGATTGAGGATCTGAACATGGCTATCGACATGGCCAAGAAGTCGCAGGAGAAATCCAGCATCTTTCTCGACGCTGGGCTCGGCGATCACTCCAACCGTAAGAGCTTGTTTTGACCTCAGTGTTCCGTGGAGATGTAGAAGAACTGGTGTAACTGATGGTGTGGAGATGTTTACTTTGTGTGGCTTTTTTATACTTTCCTCAGCTGAGTCAGGAATAATTTAAAAAAAAAAAAAAAAAATCTTTTTCCTTCACACATTCAAATATCCAGTTAATCCCTTTCCTCCAAACAACTTCCCATCCCTTCAGGGTCATCTGATGAGGTTTCTCTGGAGCAGGAGTCGGAGGATGACATGAACTCCTCCCGAACTTCACTGGACAAGCAGACGCACCACCGTGCCAACACCACCATGCATGTGTGCTGGCACCGCAACACCAGTGTGTCTATGTCAGATCACAGCCAGGCTGTGGAGGTACTCCTCCTTTGCCCGCTTCAAGACACACATATACACACTTTTACACAGCCACACACTCTGAATACAACACAGATAGTTTAACCACAGAGCATATAAAAGAAGTGGACGTAGCCTCTGTGACGTCACCCACTGGTCAGTCTCAGAACCCTACGGCTATCGGTCTGATGACGATACGCCTCTGGGGGGCACCAGGCAATATTTGGGCTCATAATAGCTGGTCCATTTGACTCTAAATGGGACTATACTTTAGGGAAATGTTTACTGAGGTCATAAATCTGGTTAGAAGTTAATTTCCTCCCTTCTATATAATCCAACAGGAGTCGCCCCCTGCTGGCCATTAGAAAGAACACAGGTTCAAGGCACTTCATTAGCTGCACTTCTCAGACCTGGAAGTTACGTCCTCTTCTTTTATTCACCCTTTGAGTTTAACTTACTTCTAAGTGACGTTCATCAACACTGCATATAGACGTTGGTGACAAACGGCTGCCATCGCTCTGCAGTCCATCTCTGCGTTTCACCTTTTCCTTCTAACCTTTTCAGTTTCCCTCTTTTTATTCTCCTGCTGGTGACTGTTAATATCCTGTGTTTCTACTGTTTCCACTGTTTGACTGAAGTTTGTCCTGGAAGGCTCTTTGTTCTGGGTTTCTTATTTAATTGAGAGGATTTTAACAATGTGCATGCAACACAGGGTTTTCTCCACCACTAACATTCTTACTCCACAGACCTGGAGGACTTCCTGCTCTTATTTTTCCCCTCTTACTTCCTCTCAAAGCTAACATGCTAACACTTTCTCTACACCCTGTCTTCTTCTTTTGTCTCTTCGCCCTCTCAGTCTTCGGCTCTCCTGCTATCTCACCAGAGCTCCCTCCTCGCTATCTCCTCGGTCAGGGCCAAAGACCAAACACCATCACACATGTTTGCTGGTACCGAAACCAGAACCTCTCTCTCACTGATTACCTGCGCATGAACCAGGTACCAGAACCACAGGCCCAGATAGATTACTACAAGAGGTCCAGTTAAAATACTTCTACAGTTTTTACTGTTCAGTGAGATGAGCGTATTAACACACTTAACATTTTAAAGCAGCACATTAACAGTCCTTATTAACACACAGATCTTTTAATTAATGCAGTTTGTCACAACCAAGCGCTCACACACAAATCACTGAGTGTTATTCTGAATTAGTGATGAAACATCAGTCATAGTTTATCTTTAATCATATCTTATCATATCATATCATATATCTGTCTGACCGTCATGTTCTCTGTGTAGAACCAGCTCTCAGGTTACCTCCTGAGGAAGTTCAAGAACAGTAATGGCTGGCAGAAACTCTGGGTCGTCTTCACCAACTTCTGCTTGTTCTTCTACAAGACTCACCAGGTTAGCCGACACGTCCTGACACCAGTTATTACGCTGCAACGCATTTAAAACGTGAGTGGGTGTGTTCTCAGATAGTGTGTTTATCTCTGTCTGCAGGATGACTTCCCGCTGGCGAGCCTCCCACTGCTCGGCTACACAGTCAGCACCCCCGAAGAATCAGACAGCATTCACAAGGAGTACGTCTTCAAACTGCAGTTCAAGTCCCACGTTTACTTTTTCCGCGCAGAAAGCGAGTACACCTTCGAAAGGTACGTTTCTAATCCCCACAACGTTGCAGTGCATCCCACAGGTCGGCCTTAAAGTCAACTCTGCTGTCTTGTCTTCACAGATGGATGGAGGTGATCAAGAGTGCAGCCAGCACGGCGGGCCGGATGAGCCTGCTCATACCCAAAGGAGGTCCCATGGAGATAAACGGAAACTAAGTCGAACATCATGTGTCTGGAGGCTGGGCCTCTGGGACGTCACAAAGACTGTCCACTCTCGTTCTTGGTGTAATTTTTTTATGTGAAGGGAAGACGATAACAACTGCAGACTGAAAGATACTGCCAGTTGAAGTGTTAACATTTCTCAGCCTAAAGATTTAATTCTAACGATCTGTGCATTTTTCTTGATTAATGATGTAAATGATAACATTTGTTCCCAGGATATAATGAAAGGGAGACGTGTACATTTTGATCAGTTTTTGCATGTGTGGCGCTCGATGGGGCCGTTCACATGGACTGATGGGAAATACTGTTATAATGGGACCAACACAAAGGGCTTTAATTCGGGCCCTGTAAAGGAATTTCCTCCTGAAGGGTACGTTCGGTATTTTTCAACCTGGATCCTTTTGTCCTCATGTGTTTGTGTCTAAGTGACGAATGAGAACGACTATTTTTGAAGCTGGTCCAGTTTTGCGTGAGAGTGCTGCAGCCAGGCTGCGATGTAACCACTCTGGACATGTTCACACGTCAAATTACTTTGACTAAACTGTTTTGTTTTTGCCACTGACAGGCTCAGATTGTCATTATAAATGACTGACTCTTTATAGAAAGGATCCCTACAGAGATAGACCTCTCTGCTAAAGAGGAAGATCCTTTTTGTTTAACCAGAAACAGTCCCAACATCGTCATCGCCAAACGCACTAGACTCCATTTAAATAAACAGTAATTTTAGCGTGTACAGAGCCAGCATGTTCTAACTTCTAACTGGGTAAAGTAAGGGTTTATTTCAACCAAACCAGAGCTGATGATTGTTGGAACAGTGTTAAGATGAAGCACGACGGCTTTTGTGTATTTTATTTTGTTTCTATCAACTTTGAATTAAGTGTTATTTTCAATCCTAAAATTACTGTTTATTTAAATGGAGTCTGGTGGGCATGGCTATGGCGATTTTGGGGCTGTTTCTGGTTAAACCAGAAGGCTCTTACTCTAACAAAAGGTCTATCTTTGTCGGGATCCTTTCCATAATGTTGTCAGACACTCTGAATAATAATCTGAGCCTGTCAGAGGCAAAAACAAACACTTTAACTGGACAGAAATTGATGGTGAACATGCACCAAGTGGTTAAATCACAGCCCGTTTTGCTGCTGCCAGCTGCAGCGCTCTCTCTCAATACTGGACTAGTTAAAAAAAAACTTTTGTCTCTTAGTCACCCAGACTCAAAAACATAGGAAAATAGTGTCCAGGTTGAAAAACACCAAAGTTACCCTTTAAGTACATGACGACTGAAGCTTTGTTTGGTACAGCTCTGCTACGACCGGGACACAGGTGATATACAGTATGTGGGAAATGAAGGTACAGGATCGTATGTGCTCTGTGCATTGTAAGAGTCAGATGTGTGTGTGGGAGATGGAGGCGAGCAGAAGGTTTACAGGATGTTGAAACAAGTTTACGAGGAGAAGACGCATGGGAAGCTTCGAGCAATTTAGCAACGTTGCTAAAGGTTTTCAGAATACATTTTTTCATATAAGCAGTATTTATTTCTATCTGAGGCTTTATTTTCCTGTGAATTGAAGGACGTTTCAAATGTTCAAAAGGGAGCTGTTCTGCTTAACTCTCCTGATTAGTCATAGGCAGCGTTATGGCCAGTTTGGTGCTACATTTCTCTCTTTTAATATCAAATGTAATCAAATGTATCCTGTTTTTATTTTTGCATATAGGGATAACAACCTGAGGAAAAAATGTGCAGTGGTTACTCTCGTGTTTACTGTGTGTACAAGTTGCAGATTTTCCTCCTAAAAATGAAAAACAAGAAGAACATATTTTGAAGTAATCGTACTCGGTGATGATGTCGTGCTGTGTCGGACTGTGTTAGACGAATGGGAGCTGACTTATGGGAGACACCAGTGACGCTTATTGTCAATTATTTAGTGCGCTACAAGCAACCGTGGTAGTATTTGGTATATTTTTTTGTATGAAGACTGGAATCTTTACCCTTCTGTGTGTGTTTGTGTGTGTGTGTGGTTGCGTGTGTGGAGAAGCCACTGGAGCTGTTAACGTAAGGTGATGATAGAGGTCATCTCCAAAACCATCTGACATTCTGTGTGTGTAAGAGACTCACTGTTGCACAGTTAACATACAGTATGTTACTCCTATTTATTGTTTAGCAGCATGTCATCAGGGCCGTGCTCCTGGATGCCCTCATGTAGTCCTCATGTTATTCCTTTGAAAATCTAACAAATAAAAGATCTTTTCAATCACACTCTCTGTCTTTGTGTTGTTAATCATCAGTGTGACAGACTGTGAGTTGGAGATTAATCAGAAAATGTTACTGTGGTAGGCTTAATGTATTTTCCCTAAGGTTCCCCTATGGTCCAACAGTGCTATGCTTACGCAGCAAAAATTTTTTGCCACCAGTCTGCACCATTTTTATGCCTCCACACTGGCAATAGCCGTGGCCTGAGGCATTATGTTTTCAGGTCGTTCGTCCCATTCTTTTGAATGAAATATCTAAAGAACACCTCGAGGGAATTTCTTCAGATTTGGCACAAATTGAACTTGGACTCAACAATGAACTGACTGAATTTTGGTGGTCAGAGGTCAAGGTCACTGACCTCTTCTGTCTAATTCTTGTGACCACGTTATCTCACGAATACATTTAGGCTTTATTTTCTCAAATTAGGCAAGAATGTCCACAGAATTTGTTTGTCAAAGGCCACTCTTAATGGTCACAGTGTAACGCCAAGTCAGTTAAACTTCAGGGATATCAATCTGTCCATTTAGGAAACAAGTGATTGTGAATGAGTGTCAGCTGCTTTGGTTCAAATGAAAGTGACAATAGGTGCAATGGAGAGGCAAAAGCAAGACAACCCCCAACAGGAAATGGTTTTACAGGTGGTGTCCACAGACAGTTGCTCTCTCCTCCTCCTCCTCCTTCCTGACTGATTCCTTCTAGTTTTGTCTTCTGCTAGTGTCCTTGTCACTACTGGCAGCATGAGGTGGTACCTGCAGCCCAATCAGGTTGCACAGGTAGTCCAGCTCCTCAGTGATAGCACATTCATAAGTGCGGTCACAAGAAGGTTTGCTGTGTCTCAAGAGCATGGAGGAGATACCAGGAGACCGGCCATTACATGAGGAGAGCTGCACAGGGCTGTAGAAGGGCATCAACCCAGCAGCAGGACCTGTATCTGCTCCTCTGTGTGAGGAGGAACAGGTGGAGCACTGCCAGAGCCCTACAGAATGACCTCTAGCAGGCTACTGGTGTGCATGTTTCTGACCATACTGTCAGAAACAGACTCCATGAGGGTGGCATGAGGGCCTGACATCCTCTAACGGGACCTGTGCTCACAGCCCAGCACCGTGCAGCTTGACTGGCATTCACCAGAGAACACCTGAATTGGCAGGTCTGTCACTGGTGCTGCGTTCTATTCACAAATGGGAGCAGGTTCACACTGAGCGCTTGTGACAGGTGTGAAAGAGTTTGGAGACGCCATGATGAACGTTATGCCACCTGTAACATCATGGCAGGGGATCAGTGATGGTCTGAGGAGGCATATCTTTGGAGGGTTGCACAGACCTCCATGTCATAGTCAAAGGTATCCTGACTGCTGTACTGGGATGAAATCCACAGAGCGACTGTCAGACCTTATGCTGGTGCAGTGTGCCCTGGGTTCCTCCTGGTGCAGGACAGTGCTTGGTGTCATGTGCCCAAAGTGTGTACGCAGTTCCTGGATTACGGAGTCATTGATGCCATTGACTGGCCCTCTCATCCCCCTGACCTAAGTCCAACTGAGCACCTATAGGACGTTATGTATCCGTGCATCCTACTCCACCAAGTTCCGCCAGGAGCTCAATGATGCCCTGGTCCACGTCTGAGAGGAGATCCCCCAGGAAACCATCTGCCGACTCATCAGGAGCATGCCCAGACATTGTCAGGAGGACAAACAGGCAAGCTGGGGCCATACACACTACTGAGTCACATTATGAGTTGCTGTGATAAAATTCAAGTTGGATCAGTCTGTGATTTCAGGTTTTTACTTTGATTTCGGTGTGATTTTGAATCCAGCCGTTAGTGGGTTGATGATTTTGGTTTCCATTGATCGTTGTTATGTCATTTTGTTCTTAACAAATGATACAGTGTACATCAGTAAAGATTTTCAACTTGAACAATTTGTTCATCAAGATCTGATGTGTGATTTAAGGGTTCCTTTAACTTTTTTGAGCAGTGTAGCTGGCAATTTATTTTCTGTCAGTCAGTGCTGACACATGCTGCAATGATATCTGTCAACACTTAATAATAGGCATTGAAGTATGTGCTAATACAAAGTGTCTGTATTCATGTGGTTTTAGTTGTGGATCTTTGCAGAGAGAGTTTTGCAAACTGAAAGTGATGTCAGAATCCTGTATTAACGCCTTAGCTGAGACTGAGGCATGGGAAGATGTAATGTTGCTTGAGGGTTTAGGGCTGTAAAGGTATTGCTAAATGAAGGAAATGTTTCACTGAGCTTTTTTGTGTGTGTGTGCATGATCAGGCTGTCAGTCAAAGATGGAAGCGTCGACCTACTTGCCCGCGGTTTTAACGAGGATCTGCAAATCTGTCGAGCAGTCATAAACAAAGCAGGGCATTCCTCAGGCAGGTCCAAACAGTGTGAACACAGGGCGCGGCGGCTTCCCCAGAAGTGACATTATAGTTCGTCTGCCAAGGGAATCTTTTCAAACGATTTTCTGTTAGGGAGTGGAGAAGGTGTGGAGCCCTCACTGTCATAACAACATGGCTGCACGGTATCACCACATAAGCCAGCCAAAAATGACTCACACAGGTATAAGTTTAATCACCTCTGTCCCCATGTGTAGATCCAACAAGTGCTGCAAGTGCTGTGCTTTATATATTTACTCCACTGCCTTTACCTAACAGGTTCACAGACAGTCTGATAACGATTTGATAAGCACATAAATATGTTGCATTCCGCGTGACAGAGCTCAGATAATGCAGTGTGTTGGTTTCAAATCCTTTTCACAGGCTAATCACTGGATTAGTGTGTCATAGAGGGAACACAATAACAGACCTTCCTCATTTGTAACAGGATATAATGAGAAGGCAGAGCTTTCACCTTATCTCCCCTTGTTAAAAGGTACAACACCGACAAGGCTGTATAGAAACGCTGAGTCATGAGTCAAACACCCCACCAACTTTAGCAGACACCAAAAGATAAGCTCCAGCGAGCCTGGCTCTCTCCGAAGGTGACACAGTCTGCAGCCTAGCAGCAGCTCTAATGCTCACTGATTAGCATGTTACATCTCAGTGGTTTAATCCAGTCTTTATTCTAAGCTAACCACTGCAGTAGCTTCATATTTATGAACAGACATGAGAACGATATTAACATCTTAATTAGACTGTTGTGAGCCTGTAAAACAGTTGTGTTATGTCTATGTGGCTCTGGTGGGACCTTTTAAGGCCATGTCCACACATACACAGGTATATTTGGAGGGGGGGCGCCACAAATAGGGAAACTAAGACTATTACTACTATCATTTTGTAATATAACATAAAGCCACAACAACGTTACTACATAGCAAAGCCTACTAAATAATAGAGAGGCCTTTTTGTCTAGGGTGCTGCCGCCTCCCGGCCCCCCTCCCCACCTCGTTACACTTAACCTGCTCTCTGGGGGAGATGGGCAAGTTGTCTGACATCAAGTGAACTCTGAAACATGCTGTATCGTTGTCATGTCAAAACGACAAAAGCTGTCTGGTGCCAGCTCCGCCCCTTTGTGATGGTCCAACAGGGTGTCAGAGTAATCATGGAGCCCACACTGTAACTAACTGCACTTCTGGAGAGAAGCAGACAGAGGGGTCTACAGTCTGTGTTTGAAGGATATATCCAGGATGTCAAACTGACTCAGCAGCAACAACAGGTTAAAAAGACAAAGATAGTTAGAAGCTAAAGCCGAACTATAGGCTACAGATCACAGTGTAAAAGTGAACCACCACATCACTGCTGATCACCACACAAGACAATGAATATAAAGGGAAACTTTGCTGATATTGAACCAGCTGTGTGGCATCGCAGTGTGTGCAGATGAACAGTGTTTGGCTTCACCCCTGTGCTGCTGCCAGCACCCGGACAAACAGGGATCTCCGGGTGAAGTCAAACAACGATCATCTGTACACAAAGCGATGACACACAGCTGGTTGAACATCAGCAAAGTTTCCCTGCTTCCCTTCACTGGTTCCTGTACAGCAGGGTCGGTCTTTTATTCACTGTTATAATCATTAAAAAGCAAAAGCAGCATGTGTATACATTCAGTAGGCTGTATCTTCAGTAGCTAGCTAGCTAACCCTACACTTTTCAGGGTTTGATTTTGGTTTTGGAACAGGGAAGAAATGTTTATTTTTTTCCAACCTCTTCAGGTAACGAGTATCATTAATACACGACGTGCCCCAGGCACAACATTTAGCTCCAAATCCACAAAACCAGCCTGAAAATGAAGGAAATCTGAAACGACTGCATTAGCCTGACACTATGTAATGATTGGCCAGTCTGCATCCGAGGGCGGGACTTAGTGAAGTCAGCCGGTCAGTTCAACCACCACTACACTACTGAGATGAGTGTATGTGGAGAGAAGAACATGGAATCTGTTGGAGGAGAGCTCTTACGTTACCTCTGAGCAGCTGGTGGCTTGCCTAGGGCACCAAACATGCTAGGGCTGCCACTGCATTTAGGCTTCACTTAAAAGGGGTGTTCATTTGTAAAGACTGTTTGCAGAACATTACAAATGTTTGTTCACCACAGAGCTTATTTTCTGCAAAAAGGAACCAGGGTGATGCTAACTTTGTCGGCCTACAGAAAAATATTGTCCCTGGTGCGCTCTATAGAACAGTTTGTTTTTTCTTCATCCTCTTCTTCTTCTTCTTTTCTGCAACAACAAAGGGTGCTTTTACACCTACATTGTTTGGTTCGGTTCAATCGAAGTCAAGTCTGTTTGCCCCCTAAGTGCGGTTCGTTTGGGCAGGTGTGAACACAGCAATTGCACTCGGGTGCGCACCAAAACAACCGGAGATCTTCTTGAAGAGGTGGTCTCAGTCCGGTTACAAACAAACTCTGGTGCAGTTCGTTTGCGGTGAAAATGTGTTCCGACCTGGATCTGAACCAGCTGCAGTCACATGACACATTGTTTGGGTTAAACATGAGCATGTTACAGTCCTGGAGGATTATTAATGTGCACCTCCTCCTGTACTGCCTTAATATGCACATTCAGCACATCCACTGCATCAAAACATTGTTTTCTAGTTGGAGCCGCGCCTCGTTTTCAAACTGTATGGTTTGACTAAAATGAACAATGACAGCAATATAGTCCACGATGAGCAGCGCTAAAATCAACCTGCGTAGTTGTCCCTCGTCTTTCACATGCAAGGTATTTTATCTGGTCTGATTGTAAATGCTGCCATGACAACACAAACCAGCTCTAGGCCATTATGCAACTTTGCAACAAAATTAGTGCCTGATTCAGACCAAAGTAAGACAACTCTAGGTCTGGAAGCAGCCTGAGACACATTACTGACACAGATGTAGGAGTGGATTCAGGTTGACAACATGTGTTGTGAAACAGAAAGACTAGAAGAGTTGAGATGTGGTGATTTTGTTACTCTGGCACACCTTTAATAAATCCGGTTATGATTAACAGCTGAGGTAGGACTGGGTCATGTTTGTGTGTGTGTGTGTGTGTGTGTGTGTGTGTGTTATGGGAAGGGGGTGGGGCGTGTGTCAGTCCTCTTATCTCCGCCTTTGGACTTCACAATAAGTGCCCTTAGAAGGAAAGCCCGTCAGACTGTAAACTGGGGAGCTTTTTTTTTATGTTTTGAGTGGCAGCAAATCTTCAGTTCATAAAAGTCAGACACCAGAACACAGTTTTCTGCTTAGTGAGCTGCGATGCAGGAGAATATCTGAGTGTAGGGGCGCGTTCGCCTGTTGATTGTCGGGTAAGTGTTATTTAATTGTCCTCACCTTCACTGTAAACGACTGTGCGCGCACTTCTGGAACTTTATGGACCCGTGCAGAACTTTTGTGGTGTGAACTTTTCCTCGCCTCAGTGTTCTTGCTCTCCAGCCTGGGGTTTATATAACCTGTAGCTTCACTACACTTTGCTTCGGGGAGGCCATCAAACTAATCTGCGCGTGTGTGTGTGTTACTGCAGAATAATCTCCATAAGTCTTTATACGATAAAGGGACGGAGGTGGTGCAGGGGAGAGGTGGCGGCTGCGAGAGGCGGGGAGGTGCGCAGCGCAGTTCGCGGCGGATGACCGGACAGGGGCATGGAGATGTTGCGCCGCTCTTCTGTGTTTGCGGCTGAAGTGTTTGACCGCTCGCCCACCGACAAGGAGCTGGTGTCCCAGGCCAAAGCACTGTGCAGAGACTACATCCACTCCAGGCTGAACCGTGCCGGGATAGGCTGGTCTAAACCTGAGCATGGACTGGCTGCATCAGGTGGGGCTCTGGGAGAGATATCATCGGTGCTGCTGTGGCTGGGTAAGTTTTTGTGGGTGGTCTGCAGACACTAGTAGACATCACACTCATGGGCACCCTCCCATGTGACTTCAATGACATATACAGCATTTAAGGCAAAAATATTCCCATCACATTCCCACAGACGTCTACACTGATTTATATTTATACCAGGACACAGGGGTCATGCTGCAAGTACTTTTCCAAGAAGTTTGGGGACCTGAGCTGCAGTTTACTCTGGATCATTTTAAGTTACACACAGTGGGCTTTTAAAAGACAGACAGTGGTATTATTAGACTCAGTGTGCTTGAATTTGAGCACTTTTATGCAAAGAAAAGTGAAGACACGTGAGTACACAGAGCTTTTCACAATGATGAGAACAATCATTAAAAAAATACAGTTTTAGAATGTAATTTAGAAAATTTCTGCGACATACAAGAGTTTTTCATAGAATTGAAAAAAATCGCACTCATAAACAAATAAATAAGTTGAATTTTCAGGTCTGAGGGTGGCATCGGCGGGGCTGCTTGGACCGATGACCTTTATAACCTGTCTTGTCAGCAACCCAGTCGCCAGAAAAAATATTGGCATTGTACGATTCTGCAAACCCAAATGTGTTACATTTGTACCTTATTTGTAGCAGATATGTTGAAGCTATACTTTATTTATGTTTCAACAATGCTATGGCTAATTTGTGGTTAGGTTTGGGCACAAAAACCTCTTGGCTATGGTTAGGAAAAGATCATGTTTCGGCTTAAAATGCCTGCATTTCATGGCTCTATCCCTGGTGGAAGTGCAGTGATGTCTTTTTTAAAAAACAACCACTTTTTGTGGCACTACCCTGCTGCAAAAACAGTGACAGGTCACTAAAAAACACACCCTCTTTGGTGCCTTAGAACCTGCTAGAAGCAGATGCTGTTTGCTGTTGCTTAGATGTCATGCTATCCACCATCCCCTCCACCTCCTGATGACAAAGTCAGCTCATGTACATGGATGCATTACTGAACGGGCCTACCTGGCACAGGCCCAAAGTTACAGGGAGCCCCTGGCTTTTAGCTGCAAAATGTCAAATGTCAAATTAACATGTAGGGATCAGTAAGAGACTCAGAATCACCACAAAGAGACACACAAAGGAGACAAAGAGATGCAAAACAACAAAACAACCACAAAGAGACACAAAAAGACTATTAAAAAAAACAGAAGAAAACAAAAAAAGACCAATGAAGGCACCTCACTGCCTCAAAGAGACACAAAATGACTACACTGAAACACAAAATGACAAAACCGACACAAAATTACTTCAGAGAGACACAAAACAACCACAAAGAGACACAAAATGATTACATTGAGACACAAAATGACAACAAACAACAAAAATTGACCAAAAAGGAGACTAAATTGCCTCAAAGTGACACAAAATCTACTAAGTAAGACACAAAGTGACTACACTGAAACATGAAATGACAAAAAAAGACAAAAAATTGCTTTAAAGAGACACAAAACAACCATAAAGAGACACATAATGAGTACAAAAAATAAACATAAAAGACACTAAATACTTCCAAAGAGACACAAAACTGCTACAATGAGACACAAAATGGCGACAAAAAAAAACAAAAAAAGCTCTAGAAGGACACCAAATTGCCTCAAAGAGATACAAAATATACTCAGTAAGACACAAAATAACTACACTGAAACATGAAACCGACACCAAATTACTTCAAAGAGACACAAAACAACCACAAAAAGACACAAAACAACCACAAAGAGACAAACAAAACGACTACACTGAGACACAAAACGACTACAATGAGACACAAAATGACTACAAGCAACAACAAAAATAACCAAAAAGGACACTAATTTGCCTCAAAGTGACACAAACTCTACTAAGACACAAAGTGACTACACTGAAACACTAAATGACAAACAAAGACACAAAATTACTTTAAAGAGACACAAAATAATTACAGACAACAAAAAAATGACCAAAAAGGACGCTAAATTGCCCCATTGAGACACAAAATGACAAAAAAGACACAAAGACAACATAAAGAGACGCAAAACAAGTACAAACAACATAAAATGAACATAAAAGACGCAAAAAAATTCCAAAGAGACACAAAATGACTATAAAAAAACAAAAGAAAACAAAAAAGACCAGGACACCAAATTGCGTCAAAGAGACACAAAATATACTCAGTAAGACACAAAATGACAACACTGAAACACAAAATATCAAAACCGACATTACTTCAAAGAGACACAAAACAACCACAAAGAGACTCAAACTACTACAATGAGACACAAAATGACTACAAACATGTAGGAGAGGTGGTGAGGCCCTTTGCATATCTGTGTCGATTGTCTCATAATCCACCTGTGCTCCTATACCACATCAGTTTAGATGATACAAATGAAACAAATGTAGCATGATTTGTCAGTAGCATGACTTGCAGAAGCACACATTGTCAGCATTGTCTTCTGGTGACTGGGCTGCTCATCATTCAGAAAAGTGTTGTGGGATCACCTTCCATTTTCACTGGAAGACCTTGAAGTGATTCTGAGGAATAACCAGCTCAAATGAGTGACACAGTCTCATGAGGAATATTTGGATGTTTGTTTGGTGTGACAATCCATAGACTGCAGATCAGATTTCTCTTCCTGTCTGAGCTTTGACTTCACTCTGTGGTTATCACCCCACCTCCAGTTTAAGGAGTTGTGCAATTCGTTGGAAACTCAGATCGAACAAAGACTGGGGTTATAAAGAAAAGAAAAAGGGGAGGAAGTTTGGGAACACTTTCCAGAAGAGTTTCAAAAACTGTGGTCAAAACAGAGCTGGCAAACCTCTGGGCCAGAATCAGCTGAAGAGATTAGATCGATTACTTTTGGACTTTGTTTCCTTTAAAGGCGACTGAATATGAAGTCACTTCAGGTTACAGCAAAAACATCCACTGCTCATAAATCAAGGAAAAAATTCAGGCTAAATCAGATTTTAAAGGAATAGTTCAACATTTTGGAAACTATCCTTACTCACTTCTCTGCTGAGACTTAAACTGGTTTCTCATATGAACTCCAGACATTATCCTGTTGCCTTTTCGCACATGTAGCACACAACAGGAGATTAAGACACATTTTTACTTACTGGAAATACTCTGGTGAAGGTGAAGGGTGGCGTCTGGGTAGAGGTGACAGGAGGCAGGGCATGACACAAAAAGTGGGCTGCAGAAATTAAAGTGTTTAGTTTACGTAGCTGGAGGGTAATTTGGTCATTAACAACCGAGTCTCCTGCCGTCCCTTGAATTTGTCTATTGTTTTCGAACAGAAGTTCCCAGTTGTCATCATCTCTACAGTTTATTCAGTCCTGGATGTTTGTATTCTTCTGGTTTTGCACCAGTTGCATGTTAGAAATGTCATCAACATGCCCACTTGCTCGCTGTGAATTCTCCAGACAAATTACCGGGGGTGCGTAGTTTCGGGTTGAACTACATGTTTCCTCTAAACGGTGTAAAACGGTTTGCAAACGGTTGTTAAACGCACCACGGTTTTTGTTGAAATCAACATTTTGCTATGTGTGTCAGGGCTGAACACGCTCTTGCTGTATTCCAACATGGGCTGAACTGGACTTTACAGGGATTTTGTACGACAGAGCTGGCAGGGTGAAGTCTGTTTATTGTTTGGTCCAACTGATTCGGACACTTGCGTTCTCACATACAGTATAGCTCCTATGGGTCTACATAAGTCCAGGGTTGCAGTGCATGTGTAAAGGGGCTTTAGATGAGTGGATAGATGCCACAGCATTGGAGGCGGGGCCTCGTTTATTCCTTTGAAGTTACTCACTGACGCATAAAGCTGAAAAGTTCGACCTCTTGGCTATAAAAGTACCCAGATCTTTGTAATCATTGGGCCAACAGAGTGAACGCACCAAAAACTTTGTGGGGGATGTGACGCTCAAAAAATTTATCCACTGATTTACTGATCTCTCTCACAATGTAAGTCTATGGTAAAGTATTTTTGGGCCCCATGGCGTCATGTAATGCAGTGGTTCCCAACTGGTCCAGATTTCTTCTTAGTCATTAGTTCAAAGTCCACACAGTTTGATATAGTCAGCGTCATACTTGTGTTTGTCAATGTCGTCGAGCTAGCTTGCCGTCTCTGTCCAGTAGCTGTCCATTTGTCACTAACTCTACAGCACTAAACGGCACTCCAAAATAAAAGCTCTGTGCTGGAAATTCACTGCACTCTAAAATATTGTGTGTTCTTTTTTTTTTTTTTTTTTACAAAGTTGACACATTCCTGAGTCAGTTGCGGTCCATTCAGAATGAACCTGTGACCCACCTTTGGACCACAACCCATCAGTTGGGAACCGTTGATGTATTGGACAAGGAAGTTGTAATTTCAGTTTGGCCCTTATGTCAACTTGGCTTTTTGGTCTGGGGCCCTGGTGTGTACAGTTTGTATGGAGCTGCAGCTGGTTAGCGTAGCTTAGCTTAGTGCAAAGCCCAAAAACAAGGGGAGAGAACTAGCCTGACTTTAGCTACTACAAACCACTCATCACACCAGACAAAGTGAGGCTATAGAAGCAAAATCCCCGAGGATATTGAGTCAAACATGGGTGTGTTTTATTTTTAATGAATCAACAACTGATGCGTAAGAGGAATATTGTGTTCTTGCTTCTTCCTGCATTAAGTGTTTGTTCAGTCTAAAGGAAAAGTCTAAGACACTACAAACCTTCAACAGAAACATTTTTGATTGAGTTTAGTCTCTTGTGTTTTGCCAGGTGACGAGCTGGAGTACCTTCGACCCAACGTTTACCGCAACGTAGCGCGACAGCTCAACATCACCGTGGCGTCAGAGAGCATTGTGTCTGATGCTTTCCTGGCTGTGGCCGCAGACATTTTCTCCACAGGTAGGTCCGCATCTGTGTTGTAAATCAGGCCATGCGTGCAGGCCTGCATCATGGGAACTAACTGTAGGTCTTTGTTATCAGGTACACAGAAAACAAAGGGAGATTACACAGCATTTGTCCTTTTAGGGAAGTTCTTCATATCTTTGTCAGCAGGGAGGGGAACTTCAGAGCTTGAGGCAAACACAATAAAGATATTGAAATGTTTGGAGAACTTCTGTTACTTAAATAAGAGCAGTTTTTCAACTAATTCCAGCTTACTTTGTCATGTAAATACCTCTCCTGCAGGGTTGCCACAGGATTCTCCAGTTACTCAGAGGCATTTTCTAGCGGTCATTATCCTCTTACGGGAAAGGAACCGTGGGGAAAACATTCTGTCCATATTAGGTTAACATGTTGCTGGAGCGAGTGATTGTTACAGACAGTTTGGACCCCACCCAGGGAGCGCAGTCATGGGCTTCAGCTGGTTTCTACCTCAGGGACTGTAACTAAACAATCTGCTGCAAAGTTAATTAGGAGTTGGCTGCAAACTGAACAAAATCAGGTTAGTGTGGTCCCTAGTATGTGCAGAGCTACTTAGAAAAATCACTGACTGCTTCAAGGATATTGACGTTAAATTAAACCTTAATCCAAACATGCTGTTTTGGTTATGACCACGAGTGTGGTGTTATTCAAGTAAGTTGCTTTAGTTTCAGTCACAGGTTTGAGGATGATAGTGTAAGTGTTGACACATACAGTGAAGCTGACAGTCTAGATGTGTCACTGCGTCAAGAGGAAGTTATGGACAGCAGAAGATTATGACTACAGACTTATCTAATGTGTATGAGCTCAGTCACAACTGTCAGCAAGACACAGACAACAAAAACATCCTCCCACAGTTTACATGTTGCACCATCCAGCAGCGTAGGATGCCCCTTTATTTAAAGCTGTTCTGTATGGAAGTTTGTATTGGACTTTATTATTTGTAACCCACACAAGACACTCTACAGCATAACCTACTCTGTATACACATGCTTTAATTTCACATAAAGATGTTACAGGATTTATGTGCGGTCATATTTACGCAGTTGTGGATCCATTTTTACACGTGAGACTTGTTTCGCACATTTGTGGATCACTTCCTGTATGTTTGCGGCTCTTGTTTCAATTGTGACTTCCCTTCTGTGTATTTGTATGATTTTGGAGGATCTGTAAAAAAAGGGAGGTGGAGTTACTCGCCACATCAGCAGCTTGCGACATTCCCTCACACAGAGCCTATCTAGCATTGGCATCCTTAAAGGGATAGTGCGCCCAAAAATGAAAATTCAGCCATTATCTACTCACCCATATGCCGAGGGAGGCTCAAGTGAAGTTTTAGAGTCCTCACATCCCTTGCGGAGATCCCAGGGGAGAGTGGGTAGCAGCACAACTCCACCTAATGCAGGCTGAGACCACAAAATATCTCCATATTGCTCGAGCTTCAGGACACTTGGATCACTACGGACGAGCAGTATGGAGATATTTTGTGGTTTCAGTTATGTGTTTTTTTGGACGTTTTAATCTGGGGCGCTGTCAGCCTCCATTAGGTGGAGTTGTGCTGCTACCCACACCCCCCTGGGATCTCTGCAAGGGATGTGAGGACTCTAAAACTTCACCTGAGCATTCCTCGGCATATGGGTGAGTAGATAATGGCTGAATTTTCATTTTTGGGTGCACTATCCCTTTAACAATAACAACTGGACACAGGGATAGAGGTCAGCCGCTATTAGTTCCTTTCCAGGGAGCATGGGGAATTTATGCCTCTCAGTATGAGCACATATTTCTATTCATGTTAAGCAATTGAAATAAAAATGGATCATTTGTAAGGATAATAATTTTGCGATGCTAATTTTCAGTAGCGCACTAATGTTTATTCCCATTATGTGTTAGCATCGAGCTAACGGACTAATTTGACACAGGGTTGCAGTGGTGGAAGAAGTACTTAGATCTTTTGCTCAGGTGAAAGTACAAGAGAAAAGTCAAGTGGGAGTCAGTCAGTTAAGTCTTGCTTATCCATCATAATATTTTTTACTTAAAGTCTCAATTTGCAGTTTAACTAATATTTAAATGTATCAAATAAATGTAGGGTAGTGAAAAGTAAAACATGTCCTTCTCAGATGTAATGGAGTGGAAGAATTTAGTAGCAGAACATGAAAATATTCAAGTAAAGTACGAGTACATCAGAATTATACTCAAGTACAGTACTTGAGAGTAAATGTACTTTGTTACCTTCCAGCATCACTGCAAACTGCAGATGCTAACGCTAGATAGGCTCTGTTTTTTAGCTTACTAGGTACACTTATCTCATGTGAGAGAATGTCGCCATCAGCAGATCCTGCTGTGGTAGGAATTGGACAAAATTATGCAAATACACAGGTGCCAAGTCACAAATGTCACATGACCCGTGAACTTACAGGAAGCGATCCACAAATATGCAAAACCAGTCTCACGTGTAAAAATGGATTCACAAATGTGTAAATATGAAAGTACGTGTTTACAGACTATACACTGTTCTGTTCATAGTTGTGATCAATATCTTTACACTAACAGTATGTCAAATTAATGTGTGTAAAGTGGAAGTTGTCGTTTGTGAAACCCACAGAGAATTATGACCCAACTCTCAGTTCTCCTCGGCTCTACGGACACTTTTAGTTTCTTTTAGCTTATTGTTTTGGTTTTAAAGCTCTCGTGTGTAGGATTTAGGGGGATATATCAGCAGAGATGGAACATAATATAATAAGTATGTTTTCTTTTGTGTATAATCACCTTAAAATAAGAACTGTTTTGTTTTCGTTACCTTAGAATGAGCTGTTCACATCTACATAGGGAGCAGGTGGAGACATTTATGGAGATCTTCATGTTGCACCACATTTTGCAAATTCCAGATTTCACAGTGAGAGAAACATGATGTCCATTATGAGATACTAGGAATGAATCAGACGACAGGAACAGAAGATGGATGAGGCTGAGGCTCAGTTTGTGTGTGTTGGACATGTAAACACTGCAAAAATAGTCTGAAGTTTTGACTGTAAATGGTGCAGCGGTAGAAAGCTTCACTTAACATGTGAACTAAGTTGGAAAAATGACCTGCTCACTAATCTGGTGAGGCGTACAGCCTGTCTGCTGCCCGGAGCCTCCTGTTTGGGTTCTCTGTGGGACAGGCAGGCAGGCATGGATGCCTCATGCCTGGCTGCTGCTGAGGTTTTATAATTTGTTTATCCGTCTTTGGAGAGAGCTGTTGAGAGACGTTTGCTGCACTAAAAACTACAACTCCTCAAAAACAGCAATTTAAAGGCCCAGACAAACACAAACAGATATCAAAAACACAAGTGGTGACCAAAGTCGCCTGGTGGCTCACGTCACCGGTGCTTCAGCCAAAAAAGTTGCTCATGAACACACTGCAACGACTACAGCTGACGACCAACCAGCATGAACGTTCTGGACCTGCACGAGAGGAAATAACTCTCTATACAAGCAGGCAGCGGTGGTCTGTAATCATTATTTGATAGGGGAAAGATTGACAGGACGGATTCAAGATTGTAGTTAGCCAGTTATCACATAAACAGCACAACCTAATGTTGAAAGAACAAAAGACCAAGGGCGTAAATATATAAAGTGAAGGTAGTATAGTTGCACAGGGGCCTGTAGGGTGGGATTGGGGGCCTTTAGAGCTGAGGACACTGTCATCAGACAGCCTGTCACTCAAAGAGGCCCGCCTTTATTTATGTGTAACACTTACTAAAATCTAAACGTGTAATATATGTGGAAAAACTAGTACAGTCATCACAAACAGGGCTATTGAGACCAAAACAGTTTTTTGTACCAGGCTGTAAACGTTTATTTCTGCTGTAAAGTTGGACATTTTAACATGGAGGTCTATGGGGATTGACTGGCTTCTGGAGCCAGCCTCAAGTGGCCATTAGAGGAACTGCAGTTTTTGGCACATGATATACATGACATGATATACAGTTGCTATTTTAGTGGCAAAATCTGGCACCAGGACCTGTAAAATTATCAAGCACTGGGGCCGGTTGTAGCTACATAAGCCACTGCAAAGGACATTTACTGCACACTAGCAAACCATAACACAAACAGTTGCGAAGTGTTTCTGCTAAAGGGCTAAAAAATGATCTCAACTAATGTAGCAATCTCACGCCCTCTTCTCTCACTTCCTGTTTCTCTTTTTGTGCACTGAGCTGAACTGCTAATCAGAGGTTTTTTATTCACCGACGGGCTGTGCTGTATCTAACGCCAATTCAACATGCTGAATTAGCTGGAAAAAAGCTGACTAGGGCCAGGAACACTGTAAGTCATCCAATAATAATTTGTTTGAAAAGTTTGTGTTCATACATCAGATATCAGGACCAGGCTCGGAATGGCCATCGGGTAATTCTGACACTTGCGAGATGGGCCGGTCCACCTTATGGGCCGCAAATCCAACACCAGCACTTGTGGGGAAAAGTGTATGTTTAAAAAAGACCTGCTGGCTGCTGCTGACTTGATGTCGGCGAAGCCCATCTAATTAGGGGTTACAAGGTCTCAAAATTGTCGATAGCCTACCTATTGGCCCACTTAGGTGCAGCGGTACCAGCCGTCGTCACTTCCCCCCACCCCTTCAAATGGATCAGTCTATCATGTAATGTTAGAGGTCGAAAAAGAGCAAGAAATAAAAGAAATCCTGGCATAAGGAGTGGAGTAAGTGAAATAAAAATACAAATAACCTGGACAAAGGAGCCAAAAAACAAGGTGAAACAGAGAAAAGAACTGTCGACAGCATTGTGACATTAATATTAGCAGCACTGATAATAATCACGACAGTCTGCTGGTAGCACCACAAGGGGAAAGAGTTACATCGAGGACATAACTGATAGTGTATAAACCATTGAGTGTGGATGCAGTGCATTTTGCTCTAACGGTCCCACGTCTCTTGTGTGTCTCCTGTCAGGTGTGACGTGGGGGAAGGTGGTGTCTTTGTACGCCGTGGCAGGAGCCTTGGCGGTGGACTGTGTTCGCCATGGTCATCCAGCTATGGTCCATACCATTGTCGATTGTATGGGGGAGTTTGTCCGCAAAAGCCTGACCTCCTGGTTGAAGAGGAGAGGTGGCTGGGTAAGGGACGCTTCTGTAGAGTGTTGATAATGAAATAACTTGCAGGCCTTTATATTCTCTGTTGTAAACTGAAGGTGGTGTGTTTATCCTGTGACAAAGTATTTTTGTTGTTATAATCTTTATTTACACAAGGAAAGCCATTGAGAGCGAACTCTCTTTTACAAGAACGCCCTGAATACAGTACTTATAAACAACAGAAGCAGCTGAAAGTTACAGTATGGGTGACCAAAGTATGCCAAGTGCACTATAAAATCACTAAACTCTCCCACATATGATTGTTCAGACCTAGTATTGATATTATAGGAGTGTTATACGGGGCTTGAAATGATAGCATAGGTGAACTACTGCTCCAATTTTATCTTTAATATTTCTTGGTGACCGAGTGTGTTTGTGATTATTAGGGCTGCAATCCACTGATTATTTATAGAATTCATTTGGGTTACAAACAGAAACAGAAACAAACAGAAACTGTCGCCACAGCTTGAGACGGAGCAGTAGGCATGTCATCTGCAGGATCCCGTTAATGGGAGAAGCCTGTCTGATAAAACCCTGCAGAAACAATAAAGTGTACGAGAAGGAACAAGGCCTGGCAGCGTGCCTCAGCTCCGTTCTGCTCTGCTGCAAAGAGCACAACAAGTGAACAAATGTGCCCATGCACTCGGAGACATGGCACCCAAGTCAGTTTTGTTTTGAAGACAAGTGGAGTGTGACAAAATGAAGAGCGCTGCATTGTATAACTGACCTCATGGGCAGAAATGAGGGAGCTGTGGCAGTCTAAACTCAAGCTGTAATGTCTCTACAGCGGGACATGATGTCAGCTGGTAGGAAACCTAAATAACGTTCAGTGATATGAAGGATCTGAAGAGAGGGACAAGTGTTTAGTGTCAGGACTGACACTTAACTGTGCTTTCTGTGGAGTCTCATAGTCTGTAAAAGTTCTCTGGTTATATAAGTGGATTTTTGGAGTAAGCATTGCTGAGATTACAGAGTGGGCTCTGGCTTTGAAAGAACATATTTGTGGATAAGTTGCACATCATGTCACTGCACATTGTGAAAATGTTATAAATCAAGAACACATGTGGGATTTATCAGGTATTTTAGGCTATAATCACGCTGCAAGCATCAGAAATAATTTAATAATTTCAGAAATAAGTTCCATCCATGCTTACCTGCCAGAAAAGTAAGACCATAGATTTCATGGATTTGATCGTTTTAAAGCTGTCTTATGTTAGTTTGGGTCAGTGGTGAGGTTTTGTTCACCCGAAGGGTGGAGCGTAACAAGGGCAAAGTCAGAAGTTTCCCACAACAACAAATGAGATGGTGGAGGAGGATGTAATATTGACAGCAGTGGCCTGTGATACCATATAATGTTACATCCTGTCATAATTACTGATTCATTCCTCTCTGCCACCATTTGAATTTCTTTGTCGTCTCCTACGGTCGGAAATTGCTTGAAGTATGCCACAGTGCCTCCGCCATCTCTGGTGGTATTGCTGCATTTCATCCGTATGTGAGCTGTCAGAAAACATGCACAAATGTCCAACAGGATAAAATGAGGAAGTGAAGACATTTTACATCCAAAAGTCAAAGGTCAACTTCACTGTGACATCATGATGTTATCTGTTTGTTACGCCATAACTGCAGCTTGAATGGTTTGGAGGCATTCAGCCACAAGGTGGTGATTCTAGTTTCAGTCATATGTATCCATTGGTTTGTGGACTCTCGTTTTGAAGCCTTAAAGGGATAGTGCACCCAAAAATGAAAATTCAGCCATTATCTACTCACCCTCATGCGGAGGAAGGCTCTAGTGACGTTTCAGAGTCCTCACAACACTTGCAGAGATCCGAGGGGGGAGTGGGTAGCAGCACAACTGCACACCTAATGGCTGACGGCGCCCCAGATTAAAACATCCAAGAACACATAATTGAAACCACAAAATATCTCCATACTGCTCATCCGTAGTGATTCAAGTGTCCTGAAGCCCCGACATAAAAAGTTGTTTGGAAAAATGTCATTTGAACTCTCACCCTCATTGTAGCCTGTAGCCTTCACCAGAGCCTCCCTCGGCATATGGGTGAGTAGATAATGGCTGCATTTTCATTTTTGGGTGCACTATCCCTTTAATTTCAGCATTTTTTTTCGGCCAGAAGTGACCATATTTGGGTGAGAGGGTGGCGCTGTGGAGGAGCGAACATGGGTGTCTGCCTCAGGTAAAGAAGTGGCCCAAATCAGAATAAAAAAAGATCAGATTCAATGTGATTTTTGCTATTAAAAAAAACTAAATCTGGGTAACATATGAGCAAAAAAACAATCTGATTTGGGCCTTTTTGTTGTCTGCCTGAATGTTGTTGAGTGTCTGCATCAGATGCAACCATTTTTGTTTTATTCTGAATTGATTCAATGAGCTCTGTGTCTTCTCTGCTGTTACAGGTGGATGTAACAAAGTGCGTGGTGAACACTGATCCCAGCTTCCGCTCTCACTGGCTGGTGTGTGCCGTCTGTGCCTTTGGACACTACGTGAAGGCCATTGTGTTATACCTCTTCAGGGAGAAGTGAGAGACAGAGTCACACACTGGATTCTGAGCAGAGTGACCAGCACTGTCCACCACCACCACCATGTCTTTACGAAAGCATCTCCTGCATTGGATCATGTTTACACTCATTTGCACTGAACCTTCATGGACGAACACATTCTCCCATCACAGAAAACAGACTCTCCGTGCTTCTTCTGCTTCCTGTGCTAGATTTTCTATTTATTGTTCATGTTTATTTTAAGGCACACATTTGACGTAAATGTATAAAATCACCCTCTGTTTGTAGCGCTTAATTTTTCCACAAACAGCAGAACTGGTCATTTTGTTGTCTGTTTGGGAGATGCTTGGCGCCCCCTCGTGGTTAAAATTTGTAACTACTTTAAAGGGTAACCAGTATTTATCAACCTGGACTCTTTTTCCATGTTTTGTGTCTGGGCACCCTTGGTCAAAATTCAGTTTACTGTAAATATTTAAGGAAAATGTGATCTCCAAAAGGCTTGAAGTTAAAGATGATACATGCTTCTCAACATTTTAAGCAAGATCAGTGTATTATTTTGGTTTTGTACAATTTAAGAGTGAAAAAAAGGAAAGCAGCACCTTAAAAAATGTGGTCACCCCAACACATTTAAGCTCTCAGACAACTTTTACCACAGTCTCAGACCTTAATTAGCTTGTTAGAGCTCTGGCTTGTTCACAGTCATCGTTAGGAAAATTCAAAGCTTTCTAAATACTCTGACTCCTGAAACCTTGTCTCAACAGTCAGCAGCCATTGCATGCCACTGTAAATGGAGTCCGGTGGGTTTCTGGTTAAACAAAGAGGATCTTACTCTCTAGTAAAAAGGTCTATCACCTGTCGGGATCCTTTCCATAATGCAGTCAGATGCGTACATTGATGCTGTGTGATTGCCCCATAGTGTTATATTGCAGCCTGTTTGGCCGCTGGTCTCGCTCAATACGGGACCCATTTCAAAAACTGTTGTCTCCATTTTTCTTTCATAGACACAAAAACATGGGAAAATAGGGTCCAGGTTGGAAAAATACATAAGTTACCCTTTAATTATTTCATATATGTATTGGATCCTGGGAAGTCAGGAATGTCCGTACTTGCAAATCTTTTTTTCCCCTAATGCCGTTATCTTGAGGTCGCAAGTTAATTATTTTTTTTATCTTAAGATAATCAAGATAGTAATAAACAAGATAATGAACTTGTTACGATGAGAAAACAAAAGGTTGTTTTCTCGTATTACTTCTCTTTATCTGAGCTCAGGAGTGCCACGCCAGCATGCGTAGGTGGCATCTGGACATCCATAGCAACTGATTCAAGATGACAAAGGTCAGATCAAGGAGAAGCCGTTATTGATCAACGCATCAGATCTGTATAACAGATCAGTCCTCATCATTTAAGGAGAAGACTGGCTGACTGAAATCAGGTGTGATCAAATGAATCAGACACTCATTTTTGAGTTCTTCGTAATTATCCTGCATTCGACCAAAATTCATTTCGTTTCAGCTTTTTGTTTTCTTGAGAAGTGACATAAATTAACATGTTATCTTAAGATAATGTCAAAAGAAAACAAAAAAATACGGCCATTCTTGGCTTCTGTACATTTATTAGGAAGTGGTTTTACAAAAATCTCACATATACAGCCCGACAGACAAGTGCATACGAGATAAATATAAAATACAACATGTTTTCCTTTAATTAAGGGACTGTATGAAAAAAAAATGTTGACGGGATGGTCGTCCCATCAAAATGTGTCATAAAAAGTCATCCTGTAATATAATTTGGAATCAGATTCCAACTTGTTTACACAAATTGGTGAAGTGAAATGATTCATTTCAACTGGGTGACTTATTAATGTTTAAAATGGAGGTACGCCATCTTGATTTGTTTATGTATATTTTCCTCCCTTAGGTATTAATAGGGAAACAAGTTGTAGGTAATTGGAGTGTGTTGAAAAATTTGGGGGAAAGTGTTACAAATTTTTTTCTGAGTCAAAAGAAGACAAAAGAAAATGTTAATAATTTTAATACAGTCATACAGTTTTTCATACAGTCCCTAACAAGTCTGATGAATTGAGCATTATACATTTAAAGCAAGTTGTTCCTCTTCTCTTCGTTGTTCACTGTGAGGCTGTGTGTGATATAGCTGTACTGTAATTCCAGTAATGCAAGTTACAGTGTATTTTCTTAGAGCACTTTGATAACATTTCATTTTGTGCGTAGAATTTATTCCATGAATAATTTCACTTTTATATGACATGTAGCACTAGGAGTCCTAGAAAGTTTGAGAGTCATCTGCATTTGTGAATATTAAGAATAATAAATGGCTCTTACAACAGTCCATCAAGTCTGCAGCGATTATGTTGATAAGTTATTGATAAACTGATTTTGCTTTGCAGCTGGTTTCTGTAAGGTAGGGAGAAGAAAATGTTGGCATGATATGTTTCTGCAAAGCATGAGTATGTTACATTTGTGTGTTTCATACGACGTTTCTAATGTGACATGGTTTCATGATCTGCCCCTATCTCCTCAGTGATCTCAGTTCTGATTGTCTGCCCACTCTGATTAGTTTCACCTGTCCCTCACTAGTCCTGCAGTCAACTTACCTGTTCTCACTTCCTTACCCAGTGTCTTTCTACTCTTACCTGCCCAGGTTATTTTTTCTATTGTGGTTTTCTTTGTTCCTGTGTTCCTGCCCGCCTAGTTTTCATTCCATCTGCCTTTAGGCCTGTTTCATAAATTAGAGTATCTTTTTCACGTGTCACCTAGGTAAGATGTTTGCCAAGCAGTGGACCGCTGCAGACCACTGTTTGAGACCAGGAAACAACAATACTGGTTGTTATTTAGCGAAACATTTCTTGTTTCCAGCAGCTTTTTCAGCACCAAATGTTTGTGCTTTATAGAACGTCATCGCTGTTTTTCTGGCTGGGGTTGTGCCATGAGAAGCAGTTGTTATTTACCAGGATATCACTGCTTTGGTGAAGGCTGTTTTACTTAGACATCCCCATGTTTCCTGCCGAGATAGTGCCACAAAAAGCAGATGTTTTTTTTAGAGACATCCCTGCCAGGACTCTGCCCCCAAAAGTGGTTATTTTAAGCCAAAACATGATCTACTGTGAACCATAACCAAGTGGTTTTGTGCTTAAATCTAACCACACATTATTCACGGTGTTGTTGAAAGTTTTAACCTATCCACTACATCCTACTGTACAAATAACATCTCTGGTTTGCAGAAACTTACAATGCCAACATTTTTCTGGCGATTGGATTGACTGAAACTGAAATCCTGCTTGTCGGCCCTAGCACAAAAAGAGAAGTGTTGTTTAATAATCTGGTGAATTTAACTCCCTGGATTAAATCTGAGGTGACAAGTCTTGGCATGATCCTTGATTTGCATCTAAGCCTCAAGTTCCACATTAGCAAGGTGACCGAAACATTTTTTCCACCTCAGAAATGTAGCCAAGGAATGACCATTTCCAAATGAAAAAGATACAGAGAAATTGATTCATGCTTCAATTTCAAGCTGACTCCACAACTGTGATGCACTTTTTACCAGCCTTGTATACAAAGCCCTACATGGGCTGGGACCAAGCTACATGCTAACTCCCTTGTTAACTATTTGCCACCAAGAACACTGTAATCATCAGGTGCTGGTTTATTGGAGGTTTTCAGAAACAGCCGGATGAAGAACGAGGACACAGCCTTTGTCAATTACACTCCAAAGCTATGGAACACACTACCTGTAGATATCAGGAAAGCTAGCTTGCTAAGTATTTTTTAAAAGAAAGCTAAAACGTATCTGTTCACTTAAGTCTTTAACTAGCTCTGACTTTTCTGACACAGGTCTGACACTCTTTACGCTTCATGCTGCTGCAACTCCTTTAAAAATCTTACTTGATTTTATGATTTATAGTTTTCATACTGCCCTTACTGTAAAGCACTTTGTGCTACATTTCTTGTATGAAAGATGCTATATAAATAGTTTATTATATTATTATTGTTATTATTATATATTATATATAAATATAATATCCCAAGTGCCTCCCCATCCTTTCTGCGTCCCTGATTTGATAAATAACGAACAGTTCCTCACATAAATTAAGTGATATCAAGCCTCCTTTAATCTGAACCACTGTCAACTGCTTTCAACGGGACGCAACGTCAGCCACTCCTGATTGGTCTGAGCAATTTGACCCCTCCTCTCAAATCTCATTGGACGTCGTAAGAAAAGTCCCGCCTCTCCCCGAATTCCACAGCAGGACTCTGCTCCCATTGGTCCACCGGGTCGGAGTCCAGAGAACAACAAACAAGATAGGGTGAAGACCGTCGGGATGGATGCAGGTAAGCGAGATTTAACAGTAAAATAACATTTCTTTCTCCCCCGTAGCGAGATAGTGTTATCACAAAATAACCACAGCAACGCCACGTCATGCCTGGCAACAAATTCCCTGCTCTGTCATGACGGGATTTCCAACTCTAGCTGCCAGTCCAACACAGACACATACTGCTTTGTAGCCTCGGTGACGTTAGCCTGCTAAAATGATGACTAAAGCTAACTGCTAACCGCCGTTAGCCTGCTGTTATTGCTAAACGTGGCGCTTTGACAGCTCGCCACACAGCCGTATAACTTCCTGTACGGTCCCCAGATGTTGGCAGTGGTAGTGTCATGTGTTGCGGTGAAGTTTCGCTCCTAATAACGAGCCTTCTGTCCTTGGTTTGACTGTTTGTGCTAACAGTACGCTACGCCCAAGATGAACATCCCAGCCGATGCACTGTCACCATCACATCAGTTATTAAGCTAACGTTAGCACCGGAATGCTAGTAGCTACGTGAGAGGTTAAGTTATATGATAAGCAACAAAACTCATGTAGTTTAATAACTTAATAGCGTCCAGAAAATAGGAGTTATCATTACATTCCCTTCTTCTTCGACTGCAACCACATCCCTTCTTCCTTTATCGATGAGACTGTAAATCTCAGCTGTCTGTGTCCAAGCTAACTGACTGACAGGTAACGATAACGTTTTCCTGTCTGCTGTCAGTGATGTGGACATTTAACAACACACCAGACTAAACCCTTAAAAAACTTTACATAAAAGCTTAAATAAACATCTCCAGTGAATAATAACAGGCACAAGTTAGCCAGGGTTTTTCAAGAGGAAGTGTAACTTACTCTTTAACGGTGTCCATTACTGCTTTGCCCAGTTTTACATCTGGCTGTGAGCCCAGTGTTTCCAGCTGCAGTGAAAAGTCTGCAAATACAGACTGTTACTGTGATTGCCTTTTGCCATCACACTATATTTAGAGCACCCACTTAATTGCTTACATACTTATTTATCACTACCTAACTGCACAAGGGAGAAATATTTGTAGAAACTGGAAAAAAGAAATATGTTTTGTAGAAAAAAAAATGTTGGTGTTGGTGCATAAATTGGGACAAAATCTTACTTTTTTGGGTTTTGTCATTTTTACACTTACACCTTCCATGTATGTTGAAATAAAGTGGTTCCCAACTGATCCAGCCACATGGTCCAGATTTGTCCTGAGTCATTAGTTCAAGGTCCGCACAGTTTAATACATTCACCATCATACTTGTGTTTGACCATGTTATGGAGCCAATTTGCTGTCAGTGTTAAGCAGCTGTCTGTTATTCACTTACTCTACAGCAGGAAAAGGCACTTTAAAATAAAAGCTGTGTGCCAAAAATTCAGCCTTGACTATTAAACTTTGTAACGGGCTAACCTCCCTATGATTTAATAGTCATACATGATGGATGTCAGAGCTAAGATCTGATGGAGTTGGCGAAAAGTTACATATGTATTAATTTAACAGCAGTTGTAATGTGCAGCCTTTTTGTTTTCCAAAGTCATCAGGAGTTCTCTTGATGCTAATCAAAACACTTAATTTTTAAACTATAATTCTTATTTAGTTTGGATTTAGAAGAGCTATGGAGTTGAGATGTTGTGGTAGAGACACACCTGATGCCAATATTATTGAATGAATATCAAAAATAGAAATCTTACCAGTACTTGAGTAGCATTCAAACCTTTTTTGAAACCAGGAAGTGAGACAGGAGTCTTGTGATACAGCTGACTGCTTTTTATGCCCGATTAAATTATGTTTTTGTATGAATTTGGCGGAGTTGACAAAAATCTGGGAGACATCTTTAACATATTAAACTATTAAAATATTTTTAAATCATATATATTTCATACATGCAAATATTTAAAAAAATATATGTTTCACCTCAGAGATGAAACTAGTGTGTTGATACGTTGTAATTTTAAGATTTTTTTGGGTGTAGGACATGATTTGTTCCAATTCTCAAGAACGGGTGATAAACATGTTAAGAGTAGATGTAAATTACAATAAAATATGAAAAGGTACTGTTAAAATGTACAGTTTATCTGAATACAAATGAAAGACCTGTTCAGTTTTTAGAAGTGTTATTTATTGTACACAAAAGTGCAGATTCAGATACTGATATGTGTGATGTAGTGAATCTTGTCAGTTTGTCTTGTGTGTTGTTGCCTCTGATATTAAAGGGGTGATTTTACACATCAAGTTCAGTTTGCTAGTCATGAAGAATATTACTCAGCTAGTGAAAAAAAGTTGAAAAATGTCATCTGTGGCCCTGGATGAGGTTTTTGAAGTCTGAGAAAATAACATTAATGATGCCATAGTGATGTCGTCAAGGTTATTCCACCCTTAAGACCAAGAAATCCTGAATTACAAAATGGGGTTGTGAAGCTTGATAGATGAGGACAGGGAGCGTCAGGATACAAGTAACACTATCACGTTGCATTATGGGGAATGTAGGAATCAGCGTTTTTTGAGCTGTACATATACTAGTGCTCAAAGTCAGGATATCTGTCTCTCACATTTATCCCAACATCATGAAAATACAACACTAAACAGCTTAGTGTTTTTCCTGACTTTGTGGGGCTTGTTTATACAGTGTGTTTATTTCACTGCCGTATACATTTGGCAGGAACTTGAAACATAATACTTTATTTACCCCACAGGGAGCGTCCTCCTTCACTTGCTCCCTTGCATATAAGATAAGCATAACTAATGGGTGCCATCTTTACTCCCTGACAGATAGCTTCACTTTAATGCAGCAAGCGGACAGTGGTCAACAATATGTGCAGTTTCTCCTCTGTTATTTCCCACACTGACAGTTGTCTCTCTTCTCCTCTTTTGCAGCAACCTTGACGTACGACACACTTCGCTTTGGAGAGTTTGAAGATTTTCCTGAGACCTCGGAGCCCGTGTGGATCTTGGGGAAAGAATACAACGCACTCATAGGTAGTATAATGATGTTATTTAGCACATATGCACCT